GCAGAGACTTCTCGCCCAAAGCAAGGGGAGCTCTCCGAAGGGCTCCCCGTGCTTCGGGACAGGCTGCCGCCCCAAGCCTCGCGCACCCGGCGGGGACCTCCTGCCGGGCGCGCGAGGCTTGCTGACACTCGCCCGAAGCAGGGGAAGCCCTCCGGAGGGCTCCCCGTGCTTCGGGCGACAGGCTGCCGCCCCAAGCCTCGCGCACCCGGCGGGACCTCCTGCCGGGTGCGCGAGGCTTGCAGACACTCGCCCAAGCAGGGGAGCCTCCGAGGGCTCCCCGTGCTTCGGGTGACAGGCTGCCGCCCAAGCCTCGCGCACCGGCGGGACCTCCTGCCGGGCGCGCGAGGCTTGCAGACACTCGCCCGAAGCAGGGGAAGCTCCCGAAGGGCTCCCCGTGCTTCGGGTGACAGGCTGCCGCCCCAAGCCTCGCGCACCCGGCGGGACCTCCTGCCGGGCGCGCGAGGCTTGCTGACACCGCCGAAGCAGGGGAAGTCTCCGGAGGGCTCCCCGTGCTTCGGGCGACAGGCTGCCGCCCAAGCCTCACGCACCCGGCGGGACCTCCTGCCGGGCGCGCGAGGCTTGCTGACACTCGCCCAAAGCAGGGAAGCCCTCCGGAGGGCTCCCCGTGCTTCGGGCGACAGGGCCTGCCCCCAAGCCTCGCAGCGCCGGCGGGACTCCTGCCGGCGCGCGAGGCTTGCAGACACTCGCCCGAAGCAAGGGGAAGCTCTCCGAAGGGCTCCCCTGCTTCGGGTGACAGGCTGCCGCCCCAAGCCTCGCGCACCCGGCGGGACCTCCTGCCGGGCGCGCGAGGCTTGCAGAACACTCGCCCAAGATTTTAAAATGCTGGGGGGTCGGGAGCGAAGCCGTTCGCCTCCGCCCGCCAGCATTTTAAGATCGCCCGGGGCAGCGGAGAAGTCTCCGCTGTCCCGGGAAGGCAGGCGGGGGGGAGCGAAAGACTTTTGGCCCCCCGCCGGCCTTCAGAAGCGGTCAGGACCTCTTCTGAAGGCGGCTGTGGCGAAAGTCTTTGTCTCCCGACCGCCAGCAATTTAAAACAGGTCCCCGGAGATTTCCCTATGGGCTTTCGTCTTGCGAAGCAAGCCCATAGGGAAATTCGTCTTGCGAAGAGCCTCCAAAACAGAAAACCCTTTCGTCTTGCGGGTTTTCCGTCTTGCGAGGCATTCGTCTTGCGGGGTACCACTGTACATGATTGGTCATCTTCCAGCTGATTTATTGTTTAATCAACTAGATTTTCTTGGTTGATAACATTAGCTTATTTCCTTTGCTGACTGGGCAATCTGTTATATTTTTACTTTACTCTATCTCCAGGGAGATCTTAACAACATTTTACCTTTATTATATCCCTATGAGTAACAGAGACAGTTATTTGCAATTCTTCATCCAAACCCAGGTGCCTGGCAGCTATATCTGCTGCTTACCTGTTTCCTTAATTGCACCTTCCTGTCTTCTTTAACCTGCTCCAAGCTGAACTTTGGCCTAACATTTGTTTTAATCAGTCTAATTAACCTTTATTTTCAGAACCTAATCCTCCAATAGATGAAGTCATACAAAAACCAGGAGTTGTGCAGAGATTTGTGAAATTTCTAGAAAAGAATGACAATTGCACTCTTCAGGTGAGTTCGCTTAATAATATATGTGCTAAGGCATTAGGAAAATGTCAACATTTGAAGAATTCAGATCCTTCTGCTGGGAGATGGTGGTGTTTTTTTCTCTCAGACATACCAGACATGCAGAGACAAATACACACACACAATAAAAATACAAATTAAAGGTAGCCATGTTGACTTTCCTTGTAATTTTGCCTTTGGGTGGAGCCTGAAGGGCATTTATTCCATTGTAGCATCCTACATTTGAAATTTCCTGCCTCTGGAGGTGCAACAGGTGCTTACAGTGGCTCAGTTTTGGTGCCAGTTGAAAGTGTGCCTGTTTTGTTTGGCTTTTGGGTCTCCATAAGCTGCATGGTCCATGGGGTCACGAAGAGTCGGACACGACTAAATGACTAAACAACAAAGCTGCATGGTTGACTTTTTTTCTGTAGTCATGGTTGTATGATAAGGTTTTCTCCTGCTGTATTGGCTTTTCTCTGTGTTGAATATGTTTGTGGGTCTTAAATGTATATGTTAACTTGCTTTCTCAAATTTAATGTTACATTGTGTCAACTGCCCAGGGATTATTATTTTTTTTTAAAAAAATGAAGAGCTGTATGGTATATGCAACAAATAATAATAAAGGAGGCAGCACCTGGCCTGATGCAGTCGTGCAACAAGCAATAGTGCTGCATTAGAGATCAGGAAATAAGGATTTGAATTCTGCTTTTTGCACATGCTTCTAGTCCTCTCCTCTGTATTGGGGAGGGATACTGGTTGCTCACTGGAAGGACAGACCGTGAAGCTGAGGCTCCAATACTTTGGCCACCTCATGAGAAGAGAAAACTCCCTGGAAAAGACCCTGATGTTTGGAAAGATGGAGGGCACAAGGAGAAGGGGATGACAGAGGACGAGATGGTTGGATTGCATTCTCGAAGCTACCAGCATGAGTCTGACCAAACTGCGGGAGACAGTGGAAGACAGAAGTGCCTGGCATGCTCTGGTCCATGGGGTCACAAAGAGTCAGACACGACTAAACGACTAAACAACAACAACTGGTTGTGGGAGAGAGATTGTGATCTGTGCCCCAGTACATCTACGAGGCAGCTTTGCAGAATACTTCCATTGAGAGATATCCCAATGTTTCATTGTACACATGTCAAAACATGCATACACAAACACTGTAAAGTGGTATGTAAGTGGCGGCAACATTGGACTGGACCTCTGGCTGCTCATGCAGCTGCCATGGTCTTTCTTTGCTTCTTCCACAGAGCCTACTTGTGAAATAATTTTATTCTATTTATCTATTACATCTGCCTCCCACCATTCAGGAAAGGGTATCCACATACATCAGTTTCAGTTTAACAATCCTGTGAGGCTGCGAGAAAGTGATTTGCCCAAGACTAGCAGTGGGAGATTCATGGCTGAGCAGGAATTTCAACCCATATTTCTCTGATCATAGTCCAACATTACTTATTTTCAATAATATACTTTCAAAATAAAATGTTGGCTTATTTCATCACAAGAAATGGAAAATGTGGTTACAGAGTGTATTTTGTACCTAGGAAATAAGATGGAGAGAGGGCTGTTGTACTCCGGTTCTGCTTGCTGAATTTCCATGGGCATCTAGTTGGCCACTGTGATGAGCAGGCTATTCCTATGTTCTTAATCTTAATCCATATTTTACAGTTTTTTTAATTAACTATATTTTTGTCTTTTAGTTTGAAGCAGCATGGGCTCTTACAAATATAGCATCTGGGACATTTCTGCACACCAAAGTGGTAATCGAGACTGGAGCTGTCCCAATTTTTATCAAGTTGCTGAACTCTGAACATGAAGATGTCCAGGAACAGGTAACTTCTGCCACCAACACATTGATCTGGTTTCGAAGTAATGTTAAACTGTGGCTTAGTGTTAATTTCCTGAGCCTGAGTCTTGTTCACAGAGTTTTGCTCAATGGGTTGATAGAAGCTGGGATTGTGGTTAAGGCTTCTCACCCTTAACCGTGATCTGCAGCCAAGGTTGGTTCTGTGGTTACAAATCTTACTTAAGTTACTTAACCACAGCCTCTCGTGCAGAAATGAATTGTTTCAGGCAAAACAAACTTTTCTCTGCCTGATAGAGCACGCTAATTTTATTTACTTTCATGGAGCTTTAGCCACTCTCCGTTGATAGTTGTCTCCAGTAAAATAGGCACATGCTGAACCACTTGAATGGCCCCTGGGATGCAGTGTAGGTACCTGGACAATGCTGCGTATTATGAGATTTCCATACCCCTGGCAAGCTAGTTATCCATGGCAGTTATAAGCTTCTGATACATTCGTTCTTTCAGTGACTGCTCCTTTGCTATTGGGATTGTGTTTGGTGCTGGCATATAGGTGCCGTTGTTGTGCTGGGACTGAGCAGCCTAATTTATTATATTCTGTTGCAACTTTACAACAGATTGAGCTGCAGAGGTAAACTCTTAGGGTGGCGCTTTCCATTCTTTTATCGTAGTAAGCTTAATTTAGGTCATAGCTTCTTGTCATATGTTCTTGAGCTTTATTTTATTTTTTAAAAAATGCTAATTCTGTAATGTGAAGACAGCAGTGTACAAGAGTTGCAGTTAAAGACTTTAAAAATGTATTAATGTTAATTTAACCCTTTGTTTCTAAGGCAGTGTGGGCTCTTGGTAATATTGCTGGAGACAATGCAGAATGTAGAGATTACGTGTTAAGCTGTGGAATTCTTCCCCCTCTCTTACAGTAAGTACTGATAATCTCTGGCAATAAATATTAATTTTATACATGTCTAAACTTTGGAAATAGCTAGGCTTAATTTCAGGTTTTAAAAGGTTAGCCTGAAAACTGTTATGAATAATTAAGGCTGTAATCCCATGCACATCTTCCTGTAAAACCCATTTAACTCAATGACACTTACTGCTGAGCACACATGATTGTGCTATAATTTATGTAATTTAGATGCTGTATTCTATTTCAGATTTGTTTGTTTTTCTTGACAGACTGCTAACACATTCAAACAGACTTACGACGACTAGAAATGCAGTCTGGGCACTTTCAAACCTCTGTAGAGGCAAGAACCCACCTCCTGATTTCAGCAAGGTAGAGTCTAATTTCTACTCTGTGAGGTGCTATAATGGTCAAAGGCATAAATTGCTTTAAAACAACGTATTTCCTCATGAAAAGTCAATACAAACCAACCTTTCTGCAGTCTTAATTGTTGGGTCAATTTTTAGTCAGACTGTTTTGTTGTGGAATGAACTGAACTAATACCAAAGGAATGGTTTCAACTCTTTAGAAAGCTGCTTGCAACAGATATGAAATTTCTAAAAAGAGGACATTTCTGATAACGTGCCTTTTCTTCTTCTTTTTACACTCCTGAAGGTTCGTCTTTGCTTAGGTGTTTTGTCAAGGCTGTTGTTTAGCAGCGACCCAGATGTATTAGCAGATGCTTGCTGGGCCCTCTCTTACCTATCCGATGGACCAAACGATAAAATCCAAGCAGTTATTGACTCTGGAGTCTGCCGAAGATTAGTAGAACTTCTGATGTAAGTCCCTTTTTAATAGAAGAATTATGATACTAGGAATCTGCAGCCAAAGATATCAACAGTTGTGTTCGCAAACCAATGTGTCAAAGTAATGTAGTCTTTTTGTACCCCACTGTAACCCAACAGTTTTCCCTCTGTCCTTAGGACCTTTATGATTCCCCCACCCACCCAATACATCTGCAGTGATTGTCACAGCACCAACCTTTCCTCCTCTGCATTATCTTAAATATTCTGTGGCGCATTTGAAACTCTGCCAGATGCTAAGAAAGGAACTTGTAGAGTGTAGATATTTGAGAGGCATATAACCAGTCCAGTTTATTTTTATCTATTAGCAAAAACTGGATTTATGTTGTACAATATAAGCAATAGGACCTGAAGCAAAATGTTGCAGTGTGGAGGGCTATCCCCCCCCCCCCCGTTCTAAGGTACACCATGTCTTCCCCCTCCACAAACAGTCAGCATTCTGTGTCCCCTAAGTATGCTTAATCCTCATTCAGCTATTTTTGTGGGTTTTCCTGCTTTATTTCCTCCTCCCCCCCCCACCCCGCAAAAAACGTTCTTCTGTACTTCTACATACTTTGGAGTTCCCTGCCAGCCTGTTAACCCTTCACTCTTGTGTGTAGATAGTACTGTCTTGGCTATGTAAGAAATAGCACTGAATGAGTTTGTTATTTGAATGTACAAGTGGGACCTGAAAGGAACTGTTGCAGTGGGAACTCCTTCTGTGCCAGCCATGCAGACTGGATACTCAATTCCATTCCCCCTCCCTCCTGGTTTTCTCTTTCTCTCCTAACAGATATTCAACATGTTTTCCATCCCACCTCCCCAGTAAATCCTGGGGTTCCCCCAAACATATCAGAACCTTTACCTTATATCTCAGTAGTCCCTTCTGGGCTAAAGAGCTGTTATAACTCAACACCGGAATTTAGTATATAAATTGATAATAAGCCATAATCCAAACAGCTGCTGGTTTAGCTTGTGTGTTCAATCATCCATTCTTGTCTGTGTCTGAGACTTGCATGATGTGACATATCCAAACAAATAACCGTATTTTTCCATGTATAAGACGCACCCATGTATAAGATACTCCCTATTTTGGGGGACTCCAAATTAAGAAAACACCCCATAGCACTACCCATGTATAAGACGAGCCCCAATTTTAAACCAAATTTTTTGGTAAAAAACCCCTAGTCTTATACACGGAAAAATAGGGTAATCTATTTTAGGGTCTAAGAATAATTTAACCTGCTCTATGTGCTTTTGCTTTCCCCAGGCACAATGACTACAAAGTGGTATCGCCTGCATTAAGAGCAGTTGGAAATATTGTTACTGGTGATGATATTCAAACACAGGTCAGTGGAGCTTTTTGAAAAACTTCAGTGGCAACGTGTAATGGCTTAACTTTGTTTTTTGGGTTGTTGTTTTTTTAAAAGAGATTGCAACAGTATACTTTGCTATTATTTTGCAATAGATATAGATGGTGCTGATTGAATGGATGGCATGTTATCCAGGCTTATGTATAGTCGAGGGGAAATCTGCCTGTCTTGCAGAAGAACTGTCCTTAAACGATCAAAGAGCTATATTCTTTGCAGCAACTGACATTATTTCACTGAAATGAGTATTTTATTGCTTCACTAAGTTAGAAACTAAAGAATAGCAAAAATTAATAGGAATGCAGTTATATGCTAAAGTTACTGTGGCTGAGGTCAGACTTTTGTCATTCTGAATGTTTTAAAGCAGGGCATCATTAAAAGCAGACCTTGGTGGTTTTATGGCAAAGTACAAATTAAGTACAAAGTGCAAGTAGATAAATAGGGACCGCTTACTAGCGGGAAGGTAAACGGCGTTCCGTGTGCTGCGCTGGCTCGCCAGATGCAGCTTGTCACGCTGGCCACGTGACCCGGAAGTGTCTGCGGACAGCGCTGGCTCCCAGCCTATAGAGTGAGATGAGCGCACAACCCTAGAGTCTGGCAAGACTGGCCCGAACGGGCAGGGGTACCTTTACCTTACAAATTAAGAAGGTGTTGGCACCTGTACAAGTGTACAAGAAGATTATTAACCATAATTATGGTGTATGCTATAGCTTGGCCTGCTCCTCACCTCTCCATACCTTTTTGAATCTTGAACACCATTTTTAAAACAATCTTCTTTTGTAAGGTGCCCAGTCTGTAATCATCCCCCCCCCAAAAAAAAATTCAATTACATAGTCTGTTTTTCTAGCACTTTGTAACTGCCCTCAGAATATAGAATTCCCACTTTCTCATATTTCTGCTTACATTTTGAATTGAAACTGGAGGCGACTTTTGACAAGTGGAAGTTGTCTTCTGTTCACCAGAGGGCTGTTGTGTAATTTCCCACAGAGACTCATACAAGGAAAGCAAAACTAAATCCCAGGGTGATGATGCTCTTGCGTAACTGGAAGCATGAGAATGGCTATAGAACAGGGATGGAGAATCTCAGGCCTTGAGGCATAAAGTGATCTGCTAGACCTTTCTGTCTGACCCCAATGCTTCCCCAGGCCATACACACCCTTTCCTTCCTCTGTTGTCTCACTGCAGTGCACCCTTGAACTGTGACAATGCTGCTTGCTTGGCTGAATGGAAAGATGTAGGGGTGTGTGTGGAAGCCTCTGGCTTTTACATGGCAGTAATGTAGCCTTGGGACGCGGGTGGCGCTGTGGGTAAAAGCCTCAGCGCCTAGGGCTTGCCGATCGAAAGGTCGGTGGTTCGAATCCCCGCGGCGGGGTGCGCTCCCGTTGCTCGGTCCCAGCGCCTGCCAACCTAGCAGTTCAAAAGCACCCCCGGGTGCAAGTAGATAAATAGGGACTGCTTTCTAGCGGGAAGGTAAACGGCATTTCCGTGTGTGGCTCTGGCTTGCCAGAGCAGCGATGTCGCGCTGGCCACATGACCCGGAAGTGTCTCCGGACAGCGCTGGCCCCCGGCCTCTTGAGTGAGATGGGCGCACAACCCTAGAGTCTGTCAAGACTGGCCCATACGGGCAGGGGTACCTTTACCTTTACCTTTAATGTAGCCTACTTGACAAAGGTAAAATAAAAGTCACACCTGTTGATCTCTACACTTTCGTTTCTGGCCTCCCAGAAAGTTGCCCGCAAGAGACTATGACCCTCAAACTGCAAAGCATTCCCCATCCCTGTTGTACAGCTTAACCGTTACAGCATTTTGCAAATTCTTATAGTGCTGGTGGAGAAGGGCTGTGAACTTATAATTGTTTTGCTGACAGACAACTCTTTGAATTTAGGTAGTAATGAGATTCTGTCAGATTTTCTGTAAGAGCTAAAACTCCCATTCTGTTTTTGTGCTCCATTTCCGCTGTATATTGTCTCTTGTGACTTTATTGGGATCTTAAATAGCACATTTTTTTCAAAAGCATATGATCATAACTTTTTCTGTAAATATACTGCATATGGCATTATAATATTTAAAAATAACTGCAATTGTAAGCATACATGTGAACATTTATTTCAACTATATGGACTGTGTTTGGATATATGGACTACATTTGATTATACACTGCTTAGGCAGAACTTTTCATCTTTCAAATTATTTTAGGTAATTCTAAATTGCTCTGCATTACCCTGTCTCTTACATTTGCTGAGTAGTCCCAAGGAATCTATACGGAAAGAAGCTTGCTGGACAGTTTCTAATATTACTGCAGGAAACAGAGGCCAAATTCAGGTAATATATTTGGGTCTTTCTGACAGTTCTGACATAGCAGTGGACCATGTTATATTTGCCTTTACTTAACTACTTCTCCATCTGTTCCTGATGCAAATCTTTGTATCTTCCACATGCTGAATTATGATGAATAGCTGGGATATATACCCCAGAATGTATGGGGAGGGTCTTAGATTGAACATCTTAACAAACACTGCATTATATCAAAGGAATGTACTCATGATTGCCTTTAAATCAGGGGTGGCAAACCTTCTGAGATAGGAGGAGAGGCTCCTATGTGGGTATCTGTGTGTGTGTATGTGTGTAGAGCCCTTGTAGGGGTTTGCAGCCTTCAGTAAGGCCCTCAGTCTGAAAAAAAATTAACCCTTGCTTCAAACGGTCATGCTGGCATAGCTCCAGGTCACACCCTCATCTTTGTGGGAAGTGTTGATACTTGTACTCCAATTTGGGGCCAGTTTTCAAAGTCAGTTGCCTGTTAGATAAAAATGACAGCGGACAACATCCAGTTCACTGCTTGTCAAACAAACAGGAGTATTCTTGGGTAAGATACAATTTGCCAATTTCTCCCAAGAAACTAAAATTCCCATGGCATATTATCTGAATGAGATTTGTGTAAAGGCCATTCTGAACTTGCCAGTGTTCTGGGGAAAGTAAGCAAAGTGTTACGGACGACTTGCTAAGCATAAATTGCCAGTTTTTCATAAAGTCCCTGGGGTCATTTTCTTTTTCCAGAAAAATGATAACTGTGTCTTTTCAAGGAATGCATTTAAAATGTACTTTTCAGTTAAGTTCACTGGTTAGTTTGTTGACTTTAAGCTATACTTCAGTGTTCCACTTTTCCTTTTTCTCCTAGGCTGTTATAGATGCAAATATATTTCCAGTATTGATTGAAATTCTTCAGAAAGCTGAATTTCGCACTATAAAAGAAGCAGCATGGGCCATCACTAATGCAACATCAGGAGGGACTCCTGAACAGATTAGGTAATGGATTGCAATTGATTCATAGGTGAAGGGAGTGGATATTTTGACTTTCCCCTGTTCATTTTCTAAACTATTGTACAATGCCATGAATACTTTTCTGTGTTTCTAGTACTTGAAATTATAATTTATTTAGATTTATGCAGAAAGGAGAGCTAAAATCAACATGGCTTTCATTGTAGAAGTATAGCTAATTGATATAATGTGTGTGTGTGTGCGTGTGCACGTGTGTGTGTGTGTGTGTGTATTTCATGTATTAAAATGTGTGTGGACATACACAGGAATATGCTCTAAAAAGTCAAGTGTGTCCTCTGTGTTGTTTGTGAAAGTATCTTTATGCATCTATCCTGGGGCAGTGTTGCATCAAATAAATACTGATCCAAGCCTCTTCTCTCTTTCTGTCTTTTTTTTTAACCTACTGTACCAAAGTTATTTGGTGGCTTTAGGCTGTACCAAGCCTCTCTGCGATCTTCTGACTGTGATGGATTCTAAAATAGTTCAGGTGGCATTGAACGGACTTGAAAACATTCTGCGACATGGAGAGCAAGAATCTAAACAAAATGGGATTGGGGTTAATCCTTACTGTGCCCGTATAGAGGAAGCGTATGGTAAGAAATTGTGGTGTGAATGCTGCAAGCCTATTACCAGTATAAAATAATTCCACTGAATATCTGGGTTACTGTTGTTCTGCTGAAATCTTTGTTTAGAAATAAGGGCAGCAGCCCTATGCAGTTTTATTTGAGACTGTTCCCCATTGAACACAGAGACATAATCCTGAGTAAACATGCGTAGGAGTGGGCAAGAGGACTCTAATTTCTGTAGTGAGGTCAGGCCCCACACATTGGCCAGAAGAGTATTTTTTATAAACTAAGAAAAATTCTGAAGTGGTTGCAGTTATTTAAGTAGGTAAGCAGTAAGCAGTAGAATTGAGCTAGTGAGCAATAGAATCACAGGCAGAACCAAATCTTCCAAATTTGGAAGCATTCCTAATACAGTGGTGCCCCGCAAGATGAATGCCTCGCAAGACGGAAAACCCGCTAGACGAAAGGGTTTTCCATTTTGGAGGCGCTTCGCAAGACGAATTTCCCTATGGGCTTGCTTCGCAAGACGAAAATGTCTTGCGAGTCTTGCCATTTTTTTTCGCTCCCCCCCTTTTTCTAAGCCGCTAAGCCGTTAATAGCCTTTTAACAGCTTAGCCGCTAAGCCTTTAATAGCCGCTAAGCCGCTAAATCGCTAATAGCGCTAACCCGCTTAGCCGCTAATGGGGTTGCTTCGCAAGACGAAAAAACCACTAGACGAAGAGAATCGCGGAACGGATTCTTTTCGTCTTGCGAGGCACCACTGTATTACATGTCCCAACGTAATCTACCCTTCTTTGTGAATCTTTAGGAGAGGATTGCAAATTTCTTAACAACGCTCTGAAGGGAGTTCTTGTATATTTGAGCTCGCTGTTAAAAAGATGTAACAACTGAAGGTCATAATTCTTGGCTGGCTTTTCTGCCCAAGCCAGTTGCGTTTGCTAAGGCCTATTTTAGGCCAGCGCATGCTAGTGCTCCATCCGCTTTTCCTGTAGGTCGCTTGCTGGTTTGGCTGCTCCAGGGCAAGGTGTGCTAGTGCATCAACTTGGAGCAGCCTGGGAAGCAGCCCATCAGCCTGCCCTGCAAGAAGATTGGCATGGAGTCTGCTGGTCTGGCAGCTGTATAACCAAGGCACTAAGCAGATGGGCAGGCAAAGAACCCCAGGCTTTCCTCTCCTGTCTTCGAGGTGGAGAATACCCAGGCAGCTCTGTGGTTGGTAGGCAGGCTAGTTGCTTCTCACACTTGCCAGAGAGCAGCAGTGGTGTACAAAAATGTGGAAGCCCAATTATAATGCACTGAGTGCACTAAGATTTCAAACTGAGGATTTTGTTTAGTGGGTTATGCTCAGTGTTAGTCATACTCTAGAGTAAACCCATTGAGATTGAAGGTTTTGAGGGCTCCGCTCTGAGTATGATTTCACTGGATATCACCCACTGGGTGTAACTGTACATTGTTTTCTCAATGTAAGCAACCACTGATCTGTGTATTTCTCACTTCTTGTCTACTAGGTAGATATTTGAGAGAAATGCTATTTTGTATGCAAGGGGATATGCGTGCTGCCTGCAGTCCGTAACAAGCACATTTCGAGTAGTCCGTCTAAATTAGTGAGATTATTTTGGAGTAACTCTATTGTAGAATGAAGCCTTAGGTTCAGTAAATATTACAGATGCGTTTAGAACTTAGCTTTACCTCTTTGCAGCCTACTCACGTGATCCTCATGTATTATGGCCAGTTTATTTAGCTGTTTAAGAAAGTATGTACATCTTAAACCACATGTGCTCTCTCTCTCTCAAATTTAGGACTAGATAAAATTGAAATTCTTCAAAGTCATGAAAACCAGGAGATCTACCAAAAAGCTTTTGATCTTATTGAACATTACTTTGGTGTGGAAGAAGAGGATGCCAATATTGTACCACCAGTGGATGAAAATGAACAGCAGTTTTTGTTCCAGCAGCAGGAAGCTCCAATGGAGGGATTCCAGTTGTAACCATTCAGTTTAAAGCAAAATCAGTAGCTCATCATGGTAGCCTCCATTTGTGGGCCAAAGACAGGAAAGGTGGAAATGTTTTGCTGGAGACGGATGAAGAAGCAAACTCGTGCATTTATGTGTTTTTGTGTCAGACACAAGTATTGGTTCATTCTTTTTTATATGTGTATGTTTCCATTGTCTTACGTGCAGAAAAACCGACTAATCACAACTAAAAGTTTAGAATAAGGCTTGAATAGTGACCTCAGTAAGACATTGGAAACTGATGCTGAGTTTTCAAGCAGTTGTTAAAAAGGCAAAATTGTGCATAAACAGCTGTTGATATTTTAAATTTTGGCTGTAGGGTTCACGTGCCCATTCTACACTAAATCTACCTCTTTGCGTTGGAGCAAGAAAGATGTTTCAGAACTGACGTATATATGAGCTCCTAGTAAAAGCTAAGCTTAGAATGTGAACGTTATTTATTTAAATAGTGGGAAATATAGTTTTTTGCGTGATACTTTGTGATAAACTGATGAAATATATTTATATTTAAAAGCATAACACTTACTGGGGTTCACTGCTGGTTACATGACATAACCTTGTCATGTAGGAAAAAATGGTTTTTCTGCTATGTGAAAAGGGATGGTAGCTTTGTAATTTATATAGCCCTTACCTAGCCATGTCAGCAAAATTCCCTCTTCCTCTTATTTCTTCAGTGGTATTGCAAATAGGTTTGCCAAGTGTTCAGCTGGCTCCTTCAACAGCAGCTAGATGGGCAGTGGGATAATGTTTGCCTCCATGCTGTGAAATGTATTACCTGCTGATTTTTGTGCATCAGGTTGCTGTTAATAGGCATGAGAGCAGGCTAGGCTGTTTTTGGTCAGTTGGCAACCTGATTACAAAATGGTTAAAAATTAGTTTGCCTCGCAATGACCTCTGTGTTCTTGCGAGGATGAGGGAAGGCTTCTCTGTATAGAAGACTCCACGTTGTAACTTCAATGCTACCAAAGTGTGAAACTGCAATATTCTCTTTTCTTGAAACAATGATTACATGCTTTATTTACACACAGTCCCATGTGTTACATTGACCCAAATACACTAATGCATCTCATACGACTTTTGGGGCTTAAAAAAAAACAACCAACAACAACAGACCGGTCAGAGTACTTCCGGTTTGCAGCAGTGCTATATTGGGAGAACATATTTTTCAGTTAATTGAAATAAAGATCGGTTTCACTGTAAATGCGATAGTAGGTGTTTTGAGTATGCAAATTTCTCTGACAATTTATGCAAAGTGTTTAAATGATATGATGCCAGGCAATTTAAAAAATAACCTGAATTCAGACCCAGAGACCCATTTTGTCGCTAGGTTTGAATCCACATGGATTTATTTATTTATTTATTTATTTATTTATTTATTTATTTGGTAGCACAATTAAAGGACTCCGGTTAATTTTGCTTACCACAAATGTATTGATCTGTGTGACATATATAAAACAACTTGTATATAATTGCAGTTGATTTCCTTTTTTCATAGTATTGTGTAATGTTAAACAAAAGCAAAAATAGATGCACTCCAAAATCTAAGGGGGCTCTTTATATTGTACCTGCAAACAAATTCATATGTTAAAAGTTTAAATCTTGATCTTTCCGTCTTCTGTTCCAGTCCTATGAGCATGATCAATGCAAGGACCTGCCATAGCCAGGCTGGGTGGAGACAAAGCAGCTGTGTTGCTTAGGCATCTTGCATAGCTATTGAAAAATTATCCTTCAGTGGCAGATGCGTATTGTGAGGAATTTCTGCGTGAAGCAGCTCAGAGTACCGGTCGGCTGTTAGACACTTCCGTATCTCACATACATCTTGCTCCATCCCCTGGGAGACTTTTGCTCTCCATAGTTGTGAGAACTGCAAGTGCAGTAACAGATACATGCCTAGCCTTCTGTGATGCGCACAGGTCTCTGTAGCCAGGTTCACAAAGGCATTGTAGCAGCAATATCCACTTCTAAAGGGTTATGGAGTCAAAGTTTGCCAGTGGATGTGTTGCAATATTAATAGCTGTAGCTTATGTAAAGATAGTGAGGTACAACTAGGGGGGAAATGCAGGAATGCTTGCTGGAAATCAAATGTATCGTCGGGAGAAGAATTGTGCAGCTAGCTATGAATTCTGTTTGTAGCTTTGAACAGGTAACACTTGATATAAGGGTGAATTTGTCCCCTTTTTGAATAGGAAATGTTGGTCCTGAGTGTCTTATATCATTCATTCCAAATACAGGTTAATGAAAGTGGTCAGTAAAAAAGATAAATTTATCAGAATTGCTCTAGAATTTTAAAAAAACAAAAACAAATGTTCAGGGTTGACAGGGTATCCCATTGTTTTGCTATATTACAAAAATTGCCAGTTGTGCCTGCTCTTAATTGGAGAATTCAGTAGATACTATCATCAAAACATTTACATCTGAGCCAAACTCAAGACTTTATACAAACCGTAGAAGAAATAGAAATATTAGAGACAAATGAATTTAATGTGTAATTTGGAAATATGTCTCTTTGAGTCTAGTCTATAACATGAATTTGGAAACTTCCGAGAATCATTGCTGAAGCTGTACGGTTTTATATGGTTAATTTGGATCTTTTAAATACCAGTATTTGATTTAACTTCAAATTCACTCTTATGCATGAAACTGAGAAGTTTTGATGCTTAATAGAGGGATGTTGGAGGTGAAACCTTTTATCAGAACACGTGTGAGTGGCAACTGTAGTCTCCTGGATTTAGTAGTCAATCCAAAATGGTTTGGGTTTTTTGAATTTGTATAATTAAACCATTATGGTGTTTCCCTGGTGCAGGTTGTGTGATTCTCACATAAATGCCTCATTTTGACATGACCTCAGTCTATGCAACCATGCCAAGTATTTATTTCAGATACGAAACCATATCTGAGTTTTGTTTTGTGTTTGGGTCCCTGCACTTTTATCATTGAATAATTTATTCATTTTGCTATTACATTTATAGTATTGCCTTTTTAAAAGGGTGGTAACAAAATAATGGGCATTCATTCAATGATTGGTTTACGTTTAGAAAATGATTATTAGTTGGATTGTTTAACAGAAAATAATTATTACTTTTACATTTGATTCCAGATTGATTTATTTGCTTGAACCTTATTAACTTATTAACCTGCAAATATGTTTGAAAAAATACAGATTATGAAACTGCTACAAAGATTCACATCTCCAATAAGAGTTGTTCTTAGTCATTATTGTTACTGTGTTTTTGAACATTCATTTGTAATTTGATCAATACTGCATCTTTAAAGACACACTAGAGGCTCTAACTGAACAAACTTACAAATAAGAACAGTATGCAATATTAGGGGATGTTACTACTATAAATGCTACAATACAAAACTAATAAAGGTATTTTGCAAAGGCAGTGTGTGTCTTCTGAATTTAGAACTTGCAGTATTTCTTCATAAGTTATAATAACTTTTCAGACCAGAAGCATGTACTGCACTGTTAGAAATCTCTACTGGAAGGCTTACAACCAAACCCAATGCATGGTTATTCAGAAGTAAGTTTATATTTCCTGCCCTCGGTCATATGTAGGTATGTAGAGCCATTACAATTTTAATTTACTAAGTTTTTAACTATACCACTTGGGATTGGGAAAATCAGATGGAACAGGAGAAAATCTTGTAAAATTCATTTGGACCAAATCCTATAAAGTCCTTATTCTTCAACTGCCATCTTGATTCAAAATGGCAGGTGGTGTCAAACATGAATGAAGAGTCCCACCCCCACCCTGGCAGCCCTCATGCTAAGTTTGGCAATGATATCTCAAGAGGCATCAAGATGTACAGTGGTACCTCGGGTTAAGAACTTAATTCATTCTGGAGGTCTGTTCTTAACCTGAAACTGTTCTTAACCTGAGGTACCACATTAGCTAATGGGGCCTCCCGCTGCCACTGCACGATTTATGTTCTCATCCTGAAGCAAAGTTCTTAACCCGAGGTACTATTTCTGGGTTAACGGAGTCTGTAACCTGAAGCATCTGTAACCCAAGGTACCACTGTATAGGGAACAAACAGACAAAGACAACAATATCAGGACAAATTTTGTTGAGTAACGAATTTTAGTCAGAAAAGCCACTGTTACGGTTGATGGAATTCTGTGTTTTCAGTTTTAACTACAAAGACCTTAAAAGTTCAAATAGAAGCAAAATAGCAGATGAAGCCTTTCAGAGCCAACTTTCGACTGAGCTTGATTTATTTATTCACTTGTGGCAGAAAAAAATAATTATCTCTCTCCCAGTATTTGTTACACAAGTGGAAATGAAAGTTGTTAGTAGTAAGTTGTGTTCAACTTCAGTGTTTCCCATGGAGGGTATATCTTTTGCTAACTTGCCAATTTTGTGTGTTTTCTTCGTTCCCAGTTTCAAGAGCAGATGACTCTTATTTTGCCTTTTCCTCTGCTCTTGTTGCAGCCTCTTCACGCCACTTGGCTTTCTTTGCTAAGTTCCAGCTTGTGAGGGATTCATGGCGTTCAACAGCCTGCAAAAGTAGAGCATCCGCTTCATAGTGGCACAGTGAAAGGAACAGCTGAAAGATAGACATTATTCCACATAGGGTGCCCCATGTGCTGGCATTGCAAGCGTAGCATCCTCAGAAATTTGACCTGTAAGAGTGCAGAGTGTTGGAGAAGGGAGATCTGGGTTCAAGCCAGTAGGAAGCTCCCTTTGAGCAATCACTCTACCCAATCCCTTGTAGGAGTGGAGTTTGCATGCTACTCTAAGCTCCTTGGAGGAAGAATTGGGTATAAACATAATACATGAAAACCAAGCGGTGGCCCCAATAACCTAGAGCAACCCTGTGCCTTCAAGATGATGTTCAAATACCCATCAGTCACACAGTACGGCCAACAGTGAAGGGGTATGAGAGCTGGAGTACAGCAACATCTGAAAGCAGCAGGGGTGCCTTGTGCCCATTGGGACTAGTAGGGTGGAAGGCTGGGAGCCCACCAGTAGGTGGTGCCAGAGCAAGAGAGAGGCAGAGCTAACAAATCTAGTTTTGCCTCCATCTCATCTGAATTCTACAAGGGGCAACACTGAGACACAAGTAAGTAAGGTGGCAGGCAGGTGGGAACTGGAAGAGAGCAGACCAAGGTTGATGGGCCAGTGCCCCTTTTGCCCAAATGGACCAGTCTCCACTGTCCTCACTCCTGACGTGACGGCAGATGAATCCTTTGCCCAGCAGTTTATCTCATTTGAGCACTACTGTTGACTGCCCAGCCTAAGTAGCGTTGACATACCTCGTGCCAAAACATAATGCAATGGCTTGGAAAGAAACTGCTGCAGCAGTTGGCCTTTGTTCCGAACAAACGTGCAGGAGTAATAAGTCTGATGGTCACACTGTGGCCCAGATAGTAAACAGAATCAGACTAGATATTTCAAAGCATTGTGGAGTTTGGAAGGGTCATCTTGTCTAACCCCCTGCAATGGAGGAATCACAGCTAAATAATTCCTGACAGATGGCCATCCAGCCTCTGTTTTAAAACATCCAGTGAAGGGAGAGGCCACCACCTAACATTTAGTCGGAATCTCTCTTCTTGTAATTTGAATCCACTGACATGGGACCCACTCTCTGGAGCTTGCTCCGTCTTCCATGTATCAGCCCTTCAGATATTTGAAGATGGCTACCACATCACAGTTGTCTCCAGGCTAAACATACCCAGCTCCCTCACCCGTTCCTCATACAGCTTGGTTTCCAGACCCTTGATCATCTTGGTCATTCTCCTCCTCACACATTCCAGCTCGTCAATATTAAATTTTGGTGCCCAGAACTGGACACAGTATTTCAGATGTGGTCTGACCAAGGCAGAAGAGAGTGGTGCTATTACTTCTCTTGATCTTTATTTCTAGTTTATTTAAAGGTGTTTTTTGTTTAGTGTGAAGCTGTTGTAACATTAGGCAGAAGTCAATTTAGCAATTGCGATTTTTAAAAGAAAATTGTATCAAAATCCAGAAGTTTCCCATGGAACAATACATACCCTTTTAGCAGAGGCAATCACAGCAAAGCAAGCCATGATTGTCAGGGCAATCATAATGTAACAGGCCTTTACTCGGGCTTTGTTCCTTGCAGCATCCAGCATCTCAGGCCTGCAAAAGAAATTGGGTTGGAACCAATTGGAGCAGTGTTCTTCAACAACCTTGGGCCACCCAAATTTGGCAAGCAATTATGGGAATTGTCTTCCAGCTTCTGGGGACAAACACCCAAGGCTAAGGAATACTAAATTAATGTGTGAAGTACTGAAATGTTTTTAATTGCTTTGTTTATACTCACAAAAGATACATAAGGACTAAATTTTGGGGGTATTTTTTTTAGTAATTTGTAATTAAAGCCATATTTGGTTATGTGGGTGAGAGCAAAAATTGGGGGGGGGGCAGGGAATATGCTGAAAATTGCCTTCCTCATTCCACCTGTTGGATATAATCTGCTGAGCTGTGAGCACTAACCATTTCTACCTGAAAGTAAATCCTATTGAATTCAATGGGGCTTACTCTCAAGTAAGTTTGGTTAGGATTGCTGCCTTGCTTAGGAGTGAAGACCACTGACTTCTGTGCTTTCACTGAATTTCTCCTGTGAATAATTATTATCAGTAGTAGTATTTATGTATTTTTGTCACATTATACAAAGAAGACTCAAAGTGACATAATTAATTGAAATCAATGTGGATGTGGTTTTATGTATGCTGAATTCCCAATAAAGTTTTTGGAACGGAGTATCCCTTAGGGATGGACAGATCTGTCCATTTCAGATTCTCATTTTTCCAATCTTAAGTTCAGTTGTCCACATTTCCATATTAGTGTGCTTTTTAAAAAAGTTCTTGTGAAAATTTATCAGCATCTTGGAGAGAATTTCTCTTGGCATACAGATTTTTAAAATGTAATTTTACCTAACTGACATTTTTACAGATCAGTTCTCCCAAATATATTCCATTTTTGTAGGTGGCTGTCAGTAAGGTGGTTATATGCATATTTAATCCTAGGTTATGCCTTTTGGTACACATTACTGTACTTGGCTGGAGAACTGGATTGCAAAATTATGACAAATGCAAATTTTTGAAGCACGTTTGTATGTATTTTGGTACGCATATTGCTTTGGAAAACGCTAATTAGGTAGGTTTGGCTTTAAATACAAACCAAATCCAATTTTTCCCAATTCCTGTGTGAATGCATCACAAACAAAATATGTTTGTTATTATAATATCTCTCTCTCTCTCTCTCTCTCTCTCTCTCTCTCACACACACACACACACACACACACACAACCACTTGCAAAAGCAGCCTTGAATATTGGGAAAGAAGCTTCAGAGCTCCTCTCTTCCCAGTGTGTGGAGACAAGACTAGATAAACCTGCAGGCAGATGAATTTCATAGTATTAAGGACTAAATGCATTTAGAATTGAACAAATCAAAAACAGGCCAGCCCATTAAACCCATTAATCACTAAGTCACTTGCCGTGAGAGGAGCAAAGCACGAACTTGTTGGGTTAAATCAACTAATTGTTATTTCATGGCCCACTAATTGGAACTTTTTGAAGCAGCAGATCAGTGCCTTAAACCGGAGGCATAAAACAAGCAAGACAGAGAGACGTTATTACGATTCCCTGTAATCTCTCCCTAAATGCAGGATCTAACAGTTTCAGGGGGCCCCAAATTGTTTGGGAGGAAGGGCTCAAAGCGGTCCAATATTAAATTAAAAATTAAATTCAAACGGGATCCCAACTAGTGAATTGTCACAGCTTATGAATATTATAGAATGGTAGGAGCACTGGAAGTGGAGGGCTGTAGCCAATTTTTGCCCTATTCAGAGTAAACCCCTAATTTGCATCTCACTGCCCTGATGTGCCTGGAAAAAAGGGACACTTAGAGAGTCTGTAAATAAATTAAGACTGCCATACGTCCTGATTTTCCCAGATATTACTGGGATTTCAAAGGCAGAATTGACACCTGGTGCCTTGTCCTGCATGTTGTTGTTGTTGTTTAGTCGTTTAGTCGTGTCCGACTCTTCGTGACCCCATGGACCAGAGCACGCCAGCCACTCCTGTCTTCCACTGCCTCCCGCAGTTTGGTCAAACTCATGTTGGTAGCTTCAAGAACACTGTTCAACCATCTCGTCCTCTGTTGTCCCCTTCTCCTTGTGCCCTTAATCTTTCCCAACATCAGGGTCTTTTCCAGGGAGTCTTCTCTTCTCATGAGGTGGCCAAAGTATTGGAGTCTTAGCTTCACAATCTGTCCTTCCAGTGAGCACTCAGGGCGGATTTCCTGAAGAATGGATGCGTTTGATCTTCTTGCAGTCCATGGGACTCTCAAGAGTCTCCTCCAGCACCATAATTCAAAAGCATCAATTATTTGGCGATCAGCCTTCTTTATGGTCCAGCTCTCACTTCCATACATCACTAGTCCTGCATGTTAGGCAAGTCAATTGAAAAATCCTGGGGTTTGTTTGTTTTTTGTAAAAAACAAACAAAAAACATTGGGTTTTGTCTAAAAATCTTAACAATTTTGGGGTCTTCCTAAAAATGGCAACCCTAAAATAAATGGTGTAATTTTGAGTAATACTGTTGGTACATAAGACCCATTTGTCATTGCAAAAGTATTTGCCTGCTTTCATTTTAAAAACAGCCATGGGAAGCTGCATGCTACAACAATCCTTTGCTATTAAAGGTCAAAAAGTTACAGCTGATGATCTCTTCATGCAAAGAGGAACACAAACAGATAAAAAGCACAGCGCTTTTCTGTGGTGACAGGGATGAACAGCCAGCAGAAAATGTTACATTTAGCTTATCAAATGCTTGTATTTCAACAGGATAGAAACAATGCTTTTTTTCAAGGAAATGAATGTGGGAGTAGATGAGTGCACACGAAAAAATGCCCTAGAAATGTTATTTCATCCTCAGTCTTCTCGGCCACATGTAGCACAGGGAAATGCAAGCCTTTGAGTTGTTTGCCTGGCATTGGCCATTGCTGTTATGATTCTGCAAGCAGGCCACATCTTTTGCTGCTGTGGCTGTGGCTGCTCTGAAGCGATGGTAACAGAGACGTAGCGTGGGTTGTCAGCACCTGGGGCAAGGCAAGTAATTTACGCCCCCTAACCCGGGGCAAGGCAAGTAATTTGCGCCCCCTAACCCCTAACCTGCCGCCGCTGCCAGCTTCTTCTTGCTGCTGCCTGGGCTGGGGTATTTACGGTAAGGTAGCCACAGCGGCGGCGGCGGGTCCGTGTCAGGTGATCTGAGGCGAGTTGCCGCTGGCGCTGCCGCCCAAACGACGCCGCTTGCCCGGAGGAGGAGGAGGGCAGAGAGGCGAGGAAAATGCAACATGGCCCAGCAGCTGCAGCAGCAGCAGCGGCGGCGGGGCTGTGAGGAGGGGCTGCCTGGCGCGCCCTCCGCAGCCAGCGCTGAGAGCCGCTGCCAGCTCGTCGGTTCCGCGAGACATGGGGCTCTGCTACAGCCTGCGCCCGAGGCTCTTCGGCGACTCTGGAGGCGGCGAGTGCTCCCCCCCAGATGTTGCGCCCGGTGCGGCCGGCCCCCCCTGCACCCCCCACACTACGCCACTGCTGCCACCCACCAGGCCCATCCTGAGTGAAGTCTGAAAGGGGACTGTAAATGCATTCAGCTGAAGGCACTTGTAGTCCTCCCCAGAAATCAAGAACACATGGATAAAATTTAAGAAGGGCTGAGTCAGCACTTAGGTAGTACCTTGCTTTGCATAACCTTGGAGTTGCAGGAATATGGGAAAGTCCTGCAACTGCTCATGAAATTGTACAGACACCAGGACGGTTATTGCATGAAATATCTCATCGTTCTGTGGCTCAGTGCGGGATGGCTGAACCAGTTTCTCTCCATTTTTAACTTCTCAAATCTTCAGTTCTCCACATTTCTACATTGGTTTACTTTTCAAATTAAAAAAAAAGTTCTCTTGAAAATCCATCTGCATTTTACTGCAAATTTCTCCTAATAAACACACTTCTAATACAATTTTGTGCGCAGTTTTCCAAGCAATAGAAGACATTTTTTGTATGTTATTTTGGCTAATATATAATATGCATTTTTATGCACACTTTCCTCACATATGTGCATTTTGGTACACATTGCTTAGCTGGAGACCTGCATTGCAGAATTGGGAGAAATTTGGATATGAAAGATGGCTTGTTTTGGTCCACAAGTTGTTTGGGAAGTGAGAATTAAGTAGATTCTCTTTTAAACGCAACAAGAATCAAATTTCACCCCTATCCCTGTGCTCAAGGTTAACCTAGACGCTATGATAAGCATATGGCTTGTTAGGATATTTCCGTTCCACCTTAAAAGGGAGCAGGCTTTGTGAGTCACAGAGTCTGCGTATTTCCTGTTCACAGGAAGTTTATGCTTTCTATTGCTTTCGTTTCTCTCTCGGTGCCTGAACACTGAAGCAGGCAGTCATGTTTTTTCTCTGTTCTGACTAACGCAGAATAAACTTATAAATAATGCTCTCCTGCGTGCATCTTTCGCTGTGCATTATCTGCTGATAAGAGCGTGCATCAGCTCTGGAATGTGGTAAGCTATTTCTGGAGCTCGTGTCGCTAATTGCTGATACTGCGTGTCTACGGGAGATTGATGGATGTCCGGAGGCGACATGGGGCCATGATGGGGCACTAAAAATGGCCACCATGCATCCAATACCCACTCCATGACATCCAGTAGAACTTACTTTGTGTCATAATGGCACAGGGAAACACTGAAATTTGTAACACCATGCAAGAAGTACAGAGCCTAGAGAGGAAAGTGAGACATGCAATAGCCATTTGGGGCGACAGCAGTAATCCATTGCAACATCTGGTCTGGCCCTTAGTTGCACGTCAGGCATGTAAACCATGTAGAAATCAGGCTGAAAAAAATCAAGCTGACTGTGTAGTTCAGCTGTGCATTGGTGCATGTCTGATGCTAAACTGCCCCATGCGCATATCTCACTTACATATATTACTTAAGCCTGCTGATATGCAAAGCCATTATTTTGTGTGTGTGTGTGTGTGTGTGTGTGTGTGTCACAGTCAACGTGCATGGTGCTTGACAAGAGTACAAACCATGAGTTAGTAAGCCTAAACATTCACATAAGTGTGTGTTTGTGATCAAAGTTGTCATTTTTACAGAGGGCAATAAAGCATGTCTGACACACATTCCTCCTCATTTCCTTTCCGACCTTTAAGTGGAATATGAACCTCGCAGTCCAATATGGAGATGACAAGAACACATTGTTCACGCAGTTTATAAACAAATACGGACACCATCCGCCTTTGATCACAGTTTGCGTTTCAGATTTCCCCCATGCCCCTAAGCAAAATAAAAACGTCATCTTGTACGTGCGATAAGCTAAGCTTCAAAATCCTTAAGGCCATATCCTGGTTTTCTTCAACTAAAATTAAAATTTTCCTAATGGAAAATATCGACAGGATTAAGCCTATTTGTAGATCACTAGTAGCTCACATCCCATCGCTCCAACCAGCATGGCCAATAGTCAGTGATTAAGGGAGTAAGAGGTGGATATAGTGGTGCTGCAGAACTAGGCATTCAGCCACGTAGGAGGGCACCTTCTCAAAGCCAGGTAAACACTTGCCCAGCCTCAGGAAGGAGGCTTGAGGGCTCTGACAGGGTCCTAGGGTCCTCCTGTCTCCTTCCCAAAGCAAGAGAAGCATTGGGAAGGAGGTGCGAGGGCTATAGGACCCTTTCAGAGCCCTTATGCCTCCTTCCCCAAACCCCAGCACAATGAGGACTGGAGAGAAGGCATCAATGTTGGCCTTGCACAGGGAGGCATATTACTAAGGTCCACCCTGATGGGAGTTGCTCTGTAGAGCACTAGTTTGGCAAACCATGAGATAGTCAAGTGTCACACTCCCATTGCCTGACTTTTGCAGTAAGAACATAGGCTGGGAAGCTGGATTGGCCATAGTTTCTTATCACACATAAATAAAACAAAATATAAATATGTGAGTGATATCTGTGAAAGTTTAGTGCAACTCAATGATGGAAGCCAGCAAATATGTTTGATTTACATGATGTATGTTTTGATTGCAAGGTTCATCTTACAAAACAAGGAGAACAGAGGTAGGGAACCTGTGACATTGCAGATGTTGTTGGATTCCCATTGCCATCAATCCCAGCAGCATGGCCAATGGTCAGGGATGATGGAAGTTGTAGTCCAACAACATCTGGATAAAACCATGTCGACTATTCCTGAGCTAGATGGATAGCTTTATTTTTTCAAAAGTCTTCCATTCTCCCCTGTCCTCCCTTCCACTAAAGGATTGTGACTACTTCTAAAATATGGCAGTAGTTTTTCCTCAGGGTAGTGTTTCTAGCGGTTGAATAAAATGAAGTACATACGGGATCCTTGGAGGAATTTCATCTTCCTTTCTGAAGCGTCCAGTCCACAGGAGGATTTTCTTGTCAAATGTTGAGGGTTTGTGTCCGCCAGGCACTTTGTACACCTTCTCGGCTTCAAGATCCAGTAGACAGAACATCATGTCAAATCACAGCCATGGAAAGGGTAAGGAAATAAATGTCTATGCTCAGACAGACAGACAGACAGACAGACAGATTTCAGCCACTTCCAAACAACCTCTGTGTTGGAGCATTCATCCTGACTTGTTTGCAGGGTCCTTTCCTCATCACTTTCCTTATTGCAAAAAGTCTGATTTATTTTGGGCCAAATCAAGCCTCACCTTCTACTTGATGCTTTTAATTGGAAAAGTCAGGAAGGAACCTGATAGCTCCCGTATGCATAGCTTGAGCTCTGTTTCTGTGTTATGGTCTCCCTTCCTCCCTGTTCTGAGTGTCCCCAAGGCTTTGAAATCTATTCCTAGAGCAGGCATGTCCAAAGTCCACTTCGGGGGCCTAATGCGACCCCTGTGGCATTTCATTTTCTGGGGTAAAATCCTAAAAAACCTCAACAACTTCAATCCTTAAAAAGGTCAATAACTTTGGTTGGCCCCTTGGTTAGCTCCCATGGCCCTTCACTTCATCAAATCTGGCCCTCTTTGAAAAAAGTTTGGACACAAGTGTCCTAGAGGAATATCATCCTTTTCCCCTTGCTGTTTGTCTTCACTACAAGCAAGGGTAATCATTTTTAAAAAATGGTATTGGGCCCTCTGAGCTTGAAACCAGCACAAGACATTTTGCTGCCTAGGACAAAGGATAAAATGACACCTTTCCTCCATTCAATTACAAAAGCCAGCTGGCAGCTGAATCATACTTCAGCACTGTAAATGGGGCAGTGCCCTCCACTGTATCTGAAACCAGCAGGTTAGCATAGGGCAAGCTGCTCTGGCCTATACCGTCTCCCCCACTGCTTGCTACCCCTTTTGTGCCTAAGGCACCTGCTTCACTCTGCCTAATGGTAGGGTCAGCCATGTTGAACAAATGCCCTTCCCAGCTTGCTCTGCCAGATCATTCCCCTCCCCCTGCTGCTGGTTTCTTTGTTGTTGCTACTGCTTCCTGTTCAATCATTTTGGAGTAGCCCAGATTGGTTATTTCATTATGCATTTGGTGTAAAAACACACACACACACACAGTTAGATGCTTTGGATCAAAAACAAGATCCAAATATTCTCTTGCATATATATGAATAAGGCATGAATGTAAAATTCAACCCACTCTAGATTCTATTTTTCTGTATTGTTATTGGTCTTTGCAGGTTGGTTTTAGAAATGTTGAGTGTGTGTGTGTGTGTGTGTGTGTTGTAAGTCACCTTGAATCGTTTTTGGGAAAAGGCAGGATATATATATATTTGAAATTTAAAAAACCCCAGATATACTCTGTATGCTTATAGTGGGTTGCTGCTTATGCCAGGTCAAAACATTCAACCCCAAAAAAGTTTTAAACCATCATTGCAACTGAGCTGGGCACAGTAACTGAAGCAAAGCTTTTCAAGTCAATAAATACAAAGAACTCTAATTCGGATGTAATAAATACAGTGGTACCTTGGGTTAAGAACTTAATTCTGGAGGTCCGTTCTTAACCTGAAACTGTTCTTAACCTGAGGTACCACTTTAGCTAATGGGGCCTCCTGCTGCCGCCATGCCGCCACCATACAATTTCTGTTCTGATCCTAAAGCAAAGTCCTTAACCCGAGGTACTATTTCTGGGTTAGCGGAGTCTATAACCTGAAGCGTCTGTAACCTGAAGTGTCTGTAACCCGAGGTACCACTGTATTAAAATCAACCATAACTCTCTCTCTCTCTCTCTCTCTCCTCTCTCTCTTCTCTCTCTCTGTGTGTGTGTGTGTGTGTGAGAGAGAGAGAGAGAGAGAGAGAGAGAGAGAGAGAGAGAATCTGCAACTGCACACAGAGAATTCCCACAGGGATCAATAGAATCCTGTCCTTTTTCTTCCAGTGCACTTTTATGCAACACACCAGGGCCAGCCCTGCCATTAGACAAGATGAGGGAGCCACCTTGAGCAGCAGATACTGGAGAGTGTTGCTGGCAGATCTCCCTCTCCTCAGGGCCGCCATTAAGGTCAGAGCCTAAAATCGTCTAACTGCACCACTGATGGGATCTCAAAATCAAACTACATACAGGGTGGTGCGTTAACACTCCTTGCCAGCTACTCACTTGAACCCGTTGCCCCCGAGCTTCTGTTCTGATCTGTGCAGGACAATGCCGTGGAGCCCAGGAGCCCTGGTCCTAGAGGCCGGCGCACAGGAGCACTGAGTTGCCCCGCTTCCGCCAGGAGCCGCCCAAACTGGACGCGGATGCGGGTCCCGCTTGCAGCCAGCATGGTGAGGGCAGCCCGTTTGAGTGAAGAAGGAAATCAAGCAAACCCTTTGCTTCCCACGAGTAGTGTCCAAGCTGCAAAAACAACAACCCAGAAATGACATCCAACTCCTCAGCATCTGCCTTTATCATCTCTGGAACCGCCTCTCCATGCCTGGGAACAGCAGAAGCGTTTTCCAATCTCCTTGATCATTTGCCAACCTTTCCTCCCCTCCTCCTCCTCCTCTTTTCCTGTGTTTCTCCATGTTCCAAATGAAAATGAAAAAGTGATCCCTTTCCAGGTGTCCCTAACCTTTGCTAGAAAGCAAGGTTGATGCTGCATTTTATTGTCTTTGTTGCATTTATATTAGTGGGGTTATTTTGTATTTTAATGCAGTATTTGGGGGGACATAGGAAACTGTTTGCTACAGAGACCATTAATTGTTCTAGCTCATTACTGTCTATTCTGACTGTCAGTTTCTTTCCAGGGATTCAGACAATGAATTCTCTAAGCCCTACCTGTAGATGCCAGGAATTAAGCCGGAGACCTTCTGCTGGGGATGGGAGAAAGTTTTGATTTAGCTTGCATTTAAAGGCAAACTTACTGAATTTGCACCTTCCAAAACACTACATGAACCAAAACAGCAGCCATCCTTCGAAATTTGCACTTCTATGAATTTTGCAGTCCAGTTCTCCAGGTGAGTAATATGTGCAAAATACATATATTAAAGTAAATGGTGCATAAGAATGCACATTTAAAAAAATAAAATGCAGAAATGTGTTCAAAATAGAGGAAATTGCTTTGCAAAATATGTCTATTATGTAAAAAAAATATGTAAATGTGCATATTTGAAGAAATTAGAACTAATACCCTGATGAATTCCATGAGGACTTTTCTAAAAAAATGCAAGAAGTGTGGGGAACTGAACTTTAGATTGGGAAAAAATGTGAAACTGGGAGATTCTGGCGTTGATAAATTTGCCTGTCCCTAGTTTAAGGCGATATTATATTTTCATTCACATCCCAAATAATCAAAAACCCTACCATTTATTAATTTCTTGGGTTCAAGGAGGTCCCCCACAAACATGATAACGATATGTGTCTGCATGCAGGGATGGCTCAAGTCATTTTTGTTTCCTAGGGTGAAATACGAGGTGATGTTTCCACACTCCATGTACAAAAGCCTGTCAGACTGGCAACTGACTTTTACTGCAACACTGGGGGTGTGGAGTGGGAGGGACAGGCACAGTTTTAGGGAATGCCCAGCCACAGTGATGCTCTCTCTCACATGACTTTGATAAGCAGCAGCACAGAAAGAGACCGCACAGGTTCGGTCTCTTTAGAAAAGAAAACGAGGCTCCCCTTCAGGAGAAGCAACAATCTTGAGAGTGTGAAGACAATGCATGGGTTGACTTACTCAGTTTCCACAGTGCATACCAGAAGGACGTCAGAGCTAATCATTTATAGAGGTGATATAAGGATATCCTACTTCCAAGCTAAAAGTGAATAATATCTTTTGGAGTGCGTATGGGGAAGTCTTGTGGTAGAAGACTGACATTATATTGTACCAGGTATGGACTTAATCGGACATCTGGTGTCTGGACCAAGTGTTCCAGCAGTGGAATAGGGGGAAAGGACTGTCGCCGAGTGCGGCAACATTACTTCAAGTTGCAGTTCGCACCCAAATAGCTGTATCTACAAACTCTGGCCACGAGGGGGCAGTATTTAACACATCTTGTGATTTTTGTGGAGCTGTTCTTAAATATTGTTGTTTTATTACTCATCTTCAGAGTACTGAGGTCCCTGGGAAGGTTACAACAAATTCAAATACAGTTTAGAACAGGTTAAAAGCTTACAATGAAAAAACACAATCACAAAAATAGGGTGGGTCCTTAAAATACACACCTTGGGTGTCAAAGGACAGAGTAAAGAAGTGTGTCTTCGGCATTTGCTGAAACCTGTATAATGGAGGTGCTAAGTACACCTCTGTGGGAAGGGAGTTCCACAACCTAGGGGCTGCCACAGAGAATCATAATAATAATTCAGTTGTTAACCTAACATGCTGATTCTCAAACCGTGTTCTGTGGGGAACTGTGACCTCTTCAAAAACCTTATCAGGGCAGATCAGCGAGATCAATAATTGGAAGCAAACTTCCCTGAAAGAAAGCTTGCTGACCATTACAAATCTTCCGCTGCAATGCACAACCCACAGACGAGTCTTGCTAATGTTCGTTCACAGTTCACACAAAGCAGCCTAGACTGTCCATGAATCTTGACTTCTTCCTTCTTTTCTTGATCATCATTCAGGTACATGTCAGAAGATTATGAAGAGATCTATGGATGGAAAGCTTTCCATAAGTGCAATAAACCAATCAATAAATAACTGATTGCTCACGAGAAACATCCAGGAAGAACATAAATTTAAAAGTTTATTTTTAATAGCAGTATATTTGTATTCCTTTATAATGAGAAGATCCCAGTACACATACATCCATTCAACAATGCTGTAAGTAGCCAGCTGCTGAAAAAAGTCGATATTTTATTAAAGTGTTATAGTTTTGTCACTTTCAGATGGATGTAAAGCCACAAACACAGCCAGCTTTCAACGGCAAAATGCTTAACACTGAGGACTTCTGAGGTATTGGTAACAGCATTTACAAACAAATATTTACAAGTGGTTGTGTGTGTGTGTGTGTGTGTGTGTGTGCATCTTCACACATTTTTCCCAAAGGCTCAGAGATCACACACATAGGTACTGTGCAATCCTATCCAAGCCTACACAGAAGTAAGCCCCACTGAGGTTGCTGTGGCCTACTCCCAGGTAAGTAGGTACAGGATTGTCTTCTAAATACAAATTTAATTTCTGTGAATCACATTACTCCTAAACAGGTGCATATACGTGCACATAATGTGTGGCTTTGCAGCAAGAATAATGGGTGCAGAACCGCCCCCTAAAAAGTTCAATGGAAGTTCTCATTTGCTCCAAGGAGGTCACTGTTTCACCCTATGGTTCCATATATAGGGTTACTGATGAAGAAAATAGTGGTCTAATGATATGTGATTCCAGCCATGTGAACCCAAATCCACTAAGAAAAAGCAAATGTGACAGAGACAACCTGCTAAGCATTTTAAATGTGTTTTCTCATATAATTACTTATACATGGAATTACTGTGAGATTCATTATAGCTCTGATTATTTTGTCAAAGAATTCAACTATTCCTGATCGACATGCCCTTCTGATTTACAAACATAAAAGTAAAACCAGGATTAACATACAAAAGTTATCTATGCAGTTGTGGGAGATCTTGTATTGGAAGCTAATCAGCCAGCAACACTAAGGGCTAATGGTGCAACCAATTCAAATGGCAATGAAGTACTTGATCCATGGTTGTTTGCACCATAAACTTTATAATAAGGTCTTTTACCTTTGGGCGCTAGGTGTCTTCAAAGCATAATTGTCATTTGGCTTTTATTTGTATAATAAAATACATTTCCCCCTCAAATTTTGTCGTTCAGCCTCTCCATTGGGATGGAAGCATGTATGGAATGCAGTTATTGTCGAAGGACATGCCATTAACCTTCATCATTTGAACTCTTTCTTTGGACGTTTTTGTGTGTTGTTGCCATCCAAAATAAACCTACATGCGTAACCATTTAATTTATTTTTTAACACTCTAAGCAGTTGACTCCAACTCCCATCAGCCCCAGCTAGCATAGCCAATGGTTGGGGATGATGTGATTTGTAGTCCAATAACATTTGAAAGACCACAGGTTGTGGAAGGCTGACTTACGGGGAGATCAAAGAAGGTTTGCTTGTCCTAAAACTACATTTCTTACCACAACTGCTTCATATGCTAGAGAGTCTTCTTCTTGGGATGGTGGGCCCTGCTGCATTTGTGGGTTGCAATTCCCTCCTGATCTCCCTGTACCCAGATGCCTGGAAATGGCAGCTGCCATTCACCCAATTTTTCTGACCCTTAGTTTTGCAACAAGCATTTGCACTGGGAATCGGAGGCGTCTCGCTTTTCGAGTCCAGAGAACTTTGGTTTACGCTTAGACTCCCTGCACTTTTGGACGAATAATTGTAAAGCATTTTCAGGAAGGCCGACTTGGTATTTGTCTCTTGCTTATACTGTATGATGTAGCACTTGGGGAGGAATGTACAGCAGAGGATCCCATAGTTGGATATTAAAATGACAATGATTTCCACGGCTGGCAAGTACTTGCCAAAAGTAGTTGTGTAGACGGGGATAAACGTAATCCACGCAATGAAGTAGATCAGCATGCCAAACGTTATGAATTTGGCTTCGTTGTAGTTCTCAGGTAGCTTCCTACCTTTGAAGGCGCATATAAAGCATATGAATGCCAAAAGAGCTATATAACCCAGCATGATCCCCAGGGCTACAGCCGAACCCTCGTTACATTCCAGGATAATGACTCTCCGGATGGAGAAGTTCTCATCCACAAACGGGCTTCGAACGCTGATCCAGACAGCACAAATCATGACCTGAATCCCCGTGCAAAAGGACACGATGGGAATGGGCTTGTAGAGGCCCTTCAGCCATTTTTGTAACTTGGGATCAAAGCTGAAGGCCAGCAGAATTTTCAGAGACTTAATTAAAATGCACGAAATGCAGAGCGCAAAGCTGATGCCAAAGAGAGCTTGCCGGGTTTTACATTTGTATGCCATGGGCTTGCCGATGAAGAAGCCTGTGCTCACAAAAGCAAGGAAATGACAGAGAAGGATGACATAGCAGACAGTCAAGCCGCCCGATGCCTTTACAACAGGAGTGTCCACGTTTCTAGTAAATATTATGATAATGCTGCAAATCAACACAATTCCAAGGACAGAGAGTACCAGTAACAAAATAGCAAACCAGTCATTCCAGTTGAGGTACTGAACCATCTTCCTATAGCACCTCGAACTGTTCACAGGGGCCCAGTGTGTCCTGTTGTTGCATAAAATGCAGTAATCCATATCTGTGCAGAGAAAAACAAGAGACTTCTTGACAACTAGCCCCTAGCAGTGCTGTGCATCTTATTGAAGAGATTAGGGCAATTTAATGCACAATTGTGGTCCATTATAATGAACTCATTTTGTTTTGAGAGCCAATACATATTATTAGACTGATCAATAGCCTATCTTTGTGAGCAATGTAAAAATGCATATAGAAAAATAATACAATCATGTTAAATCCATTACATTCAATATTTAACATGGGGCTCCCCGTGGGTACCACAGCACCCTCAGATGCCTCTCTTGGCACCTTCTAAAGCCCACTGATTTCCCAATGTTGTTTTAACTGAGGGGTCTTTGTGGTGTTGGAAGTACCTATTTTTTGGAGGGGGTTTTGCCTGTTTTTTATTTTTATTTGGTTTTTGAGGGGTGCATATGATTTTGAGGTGGTGTCTGAGGATCACCAGTTGTTATCCTGTGAAATGGGTGCTCTGTGGTGCCCACAATGGTTTATTAGATTTCCAAATGTGCCCTCAGGTAAATCAAGTACCCCTGATTTAAGTTAATGTAGTCACACAGAATTGAGGGACGCGGGTGGCGCTGTGGGTAAAAGCCTCAGCGCCTAGGGCTTGCCGATCGAAAGGTTGGTGGTTCGAATCCCCGCGGCGGGGTGCGCTCCCGTTGCTCGGTCCCAGCGCCTGCCAACCTAGCAGTTCGAAAGCACTCTTAAGTGCAAGTAGATAAATAGGGACCGCTTACTAGCGGGAAGGTAAACGGCGTTTCCGTGTGCGGCTCTGGCTCGCCAGATGCAGCTTGTCACGCTGGCCACGTGACCCGGAAGTGTCTGCGGACAGCGCTGGCCCCCGGCCTCTAGAGTGAGATGGGCGCACAACCCTAGAGTCTGTCAAGACTGGCCCGTACGGGCAGGGGTACCTTTACCTTTAGTCACACAGAAGCCAGGCCTTTTCAACTGGAACTGGGATTCAGGTGTTCCAGAGTGGACTGTTGCCCATGCCACTTGAAACAATGGCTAGAAATACAGGGCACTTCACCTCAGTGCTTTTCAGAAAATGTACTTTAGTTGGATTGTGCATGTGAATACAGGTTGCTTTTGTCTGCCCCCCACCTGCCACCCCACAATTTCTATGGCTCCTGAAACAATCAACAATATATTTGATTCACAGAAAAATACATTAAAAGTATTATTCTTAAGCAAACATTCTGTTCTGATAAAGCCTAAATTCATTCAGATTCCACACCTGATTTATTAGTGTAATAGTTTTCGGGGCAGCTTATACACTCGTAGCAGCAGGTATGCGGGCTTGCGGAAACTTTCTTCACCTGTCCTGGGCTGCATTTGCTGGAGCATTTGGACTGAATGTTCTGCAAAACAAAAGAGGCAAACGAAACCTGGAGATCTTGCATTTTAAAATAATCAACAATGACCGCTCTCCCATCAACCGGACGGCACCTTTTGTGTGGCCATGCGCAGCACCCCAATCCCTGAGACAACGGCAGAAGTTCCTGGTCCGCCTCCCCATGTCACAGCCCTTTGAGGTTCCAGCCAAATCTCAGTTCTAATGAACCTATCTGTGGTGGGGGGAGGCAGAGCTCTTCGCATAGTTAAAAGGGGCGGAGCCTTCCTGACAGCAAACAGTTGGCTCCCCCATTAAAGGGGCTGAGTTGGAGGGGAGTCACTGGCCATACACTGCAAGCTTGTCAGTGCACTCTCCCGTGTTGTGGTGAAATGGGGGCGGGCACTCTGCATAAACAAACTTTTGGAAAGTTTGGAACTTTCATTAGTCGTGTTGAGCTTAAATCCCATTGATTTCAGTGGGTCTACTCAAATCATGACTAAGTCTTGATCCAAGTTTAAGCATGCATGACATAGGCAAATTGTGGGTCTTGGGTGTACATTCAGCATGCGCACTGTGTTTTGCAAAACGCACAGCATCCACTTGCAGCTTGCACCAATTCCTGCCTATTTAGAATTACAAGCTCATCACAACCGACTTATTGGATAAAATGCTGCATGTGCCCTCAGGTAAATCGCATTAATACCATTCTGTTCAATAAGTCAGTCTTCTGTTTTGTTTCCCCAGTTGCTGCTTTCCATTCTTTCAACCATAAAATTTGAAAACAAGAGGATAAATCCAGAAGTGCTTAAAACCCCTTTGGTTTTATCTGTGTGCCTCAAAATACCTTTAGATTCAGAAACTCCATTTCATCTTCCTCATCTGCAAAGATGAAGTCATCTTTCTCAAGGTCGTACTCTGCGATGTTGGAAATCACCATCCGCCCATCAATTTCCTTCCAAACCAGCACATCATAGCCTGTGTTGATGTCTCCGTGAGAGTCGAAATAGACTTCCCTTTCATTGTCAGTGAACCTGATTTCTTTCAGTTCTTCAAGCAACTGCAGGGATAAAAGTGAATAGTGATGCAAACCAGTGCTTAGGGAAGAGAGATGGCATATAGTAGCATTTTATAGAGGGGCAGTACAAATCAAAAACATATCAGAAGAAAAAGAAATGCTTCCAGAGGCCAGATCACTTCACTCATTATAATCATATTTGGGCAACTTGAGTTTTATCAGTTTGCAGAAAGGATTCCCAGTAAAAAATGATTGTCTAATTACTTGTTATGTGACTAATCTCAATCAGACTGATCATGGTGTGACTGATCTCACCTTTTTGCTGAGGTGTTTTATTCCCAGATTCATCCTTCCTGAATATTTTAGAATGTCCAGATTCCATTTTCCAATTTGGAATCGTGTTTATTATGGGCATGAAAAGCAATTCTAAGAATCACTTGTGAAGCTGCTTTCCCAATAACAAAGTAGAGCTGGAAAAGGATCATTCTGGGGGGAAGTTGTCAAAGTGTTGAATATTCACATTTAATAGTCTAATGTTATTGCCCAATGGCTATTGCTTTCAAAGCACAAGAGGTAAGGTATTTTTTAAAAAGTACTCTGAAGTCTGATTTCATAAGCAAAATTTTAAAATTGAAGACATTCAAAATGAAGAAAAAATGTATTCAGATGTTTCATAAATTTTCTAATTGTTTATGACATTTCATTTCTCCTCTGCTAAAAAAATGTAACCTTGTGGTCTGGGAGTGGAGGAGAAATTTAATTCAGTTCTCATTTAAAGGTGAATCTGAGAACTGAAACACAGCTATCCTTGGGAAGTTGCGAATTTTCTGAATTTTGTGATGCAGTTGTCCAACCAAATAATGTTTACAAAAAAATGTATATATGAGGGGAAAGTGTGCATTTAAAAATGAAGACATTAGTGAAGATAACAAAAATGCATCGTATCAGGGGAAATTGCTTGCAAAAATATGTACATTAGTGAAAACATACCAAAAAAAAATATATTAGGAGAAATCTGGTGCTGATTTAAAAAATAAATAAATCACAAATTGCACCAGAAACATGTAGAACTGAATTAAAGTTTTCTTAAAAATGAAAAACTGAGAGAACTGAAATTGATAGATCCTTCCACCCCTTAGTATATCTTTCCCTGAAAAAAGAAGTTTAGGCAACAACAAAAATCTTTCTTCAGTCAAAGAAGGTCAAATAAAGCTAAAGGGTCACATGCAGTCATGGTGCTTCAACTTTGTTTATCTTAAAATAAACGTTGGTTAACTATGTAAAAAATGCAGAAGAGAGTACTGCTGCCCAGGTCCCTAGATAAAGGCGGTCAATTCTCATTTATTTGCCTAATGTTCCTATCTAGCTTTGGCTGCCTCCACTTTGGGAATTTACTACGGAATGGACACACTTTGTTCACTCACTTTTTATGGGGCACCTGCACAGTGTCTTGAACAAAATATCCCCCTTTCATGTTTTCCCCTGTTCAACTTCTGTTTCTTTTCAGAGGTCAGGAACATCAGAGTTCTTTTTAAATCAATAGAAAAGCTGTGCGATTTCTATTCCGGTCAATTGGATCGCTCTATTTTTCAGATTGTGCTTTTCTATGTCCTGTCTGTCCTCTCTTGGAATCAACCTCACCAGTTTAACACTTCCCTTTCCAAATAGCATTGCCTTTATATCTCCATTTCCCATCTAAATTGCAGCTGGGGATGGCAGAGAGGGGATAGGGAGTGCTTAGCGTTCCCCACACCCCACGGTCCCAAATAAAATTACCCACTTCCCGGGCCAGGCACAATACATTTTTCTGCCCAAGGCAAAGGGCAAGATGGTAGCTTTTCATTCCACATTCACAGGACAGGCCCATTGCACTCATAGCTGTACATTCCCAACAGAGGAGAATGGCTGGGAATCCCACTATGCCCCTTTCCCCAAAAACTGCTATCTGGGGTACAATTCACACAGTGGTTTAACAATTAATCCGTGTCCCCGACCAGCCTTGTTTTGCACATCATTATATGCATTCTGATATTGATAATATTATATGCATATACATTCCTGGTTTCCTAAAGAAAGCAACACACAAACACATGTATGTATGTATGTATGTATGTATGTATGTATAAAAATCCTGATGTACGGTATTCATGCTTACAAAATTATGCTTCAAAAACATAGTTCCACAGGAGGGTTGACTCATCTATTTAAACCACTTTTAGGTATTATATAAATTTTGTGAAATAAATATGTTGTGCATATTTTTTTGCAAATGATTTCACATTGAATTGCACAAGTGGCTTGGTCATAAGTGGGCACCCAGTACAGGAAGAGGTCTGGTGCAGGGCAATGCTCACTCAGATCCATGTAAAACAAATTATTCCTCCATCCCTAACTCAGACTGAATATGCTGTGGGAGGAGATCTGCAATACTGTACAACACTAAGGGAAATACTGGACAGAGCTTCTTTGCATGGAGGGATCTGGGAAGCTTGGGGGCGGGGGGGAGACTTGAAAGCACCCTCACTACACAACACAAAACCCAGAATGTTTTGGGAAAGCCATAACAGTAACATTTTCATAAAATGGATATCAATATATGTGTTGTAACAATGTGATTTTAAGAATGTCCTCTGGATTCTTAGGTAAAGAAGAACATCATTAGTTGTGTGTCACTAGACACTATAGCAAAAGATTCTGATTACCACAATATAGTCTCAACCTCTCAGCACTGCAGCAATGTCTGATCCCAGACCCCACATGACCCTTCAGCATGAAGACTCAAATACCCAGAGAATTGTGCATATTAATACGCTCACTGGATCAATGTATCTCAAACAGTGTCAAAATGTAGGTGAGGAGATTTGCAGAAGGAACAAAACCAGCTGGTTGGGTTTGTTCTGGACAGATGTGGTCTTCTTTATTACAAATATTTATACGTTGCCTATTGTGAAAACATCAGGGTAGTTTACAACACGAGTTGAAAAAACAGTGGCAATAAAATAAACCCAGCAGCATTAACAGTCAGTACAAAACAATTCAGAGGTGATATGATAGCCACCTTCAAATATCTGAAAGGCTATCACATGGATGATGGAGCAACCTGCTGCTCTGGAGGGTAGGACCCGAACCAATGGCTTCAAATTACAAGAAAGGACATTCCAACTAAACATTAGGAAGACCTTACTGGTGTTATGAGCTGTTCAGCAGTGGAATGGACTACTTTGGAAGGTGTGGACTCTCCTTCATCTGGGGGTTTTAAGCAGAGCTTGAATTAACATCTCTCTTGGATGCTTTAGCTGAGATTCCTGCATGGAATGGGGTAGAACTAGAACCCTCAGGGTCCCTCACAGGTATACAAATATATGATTGTATGGAAATTAAACTTTTAAAGAAGTTATGGGGAAAGCTGCCATCAGTAACCAGCACAGGCCTCAGTAAGGTTTCAACAGGTGCTGAAAACTCTTGATCTTTTGCAGTTATGCATTCGTTGTGTTGCCCTGGGACTGCAATTTTATCTCAACATCCAGTTCTCCCTAAGATTAAGCAGAAATAATTGTAAAGAAGATAACAGGATTGTTGGGAGGGAATATAAAATAAGGGATACAATACTTTCTGAAAAGTTGATTAATGTTTTTTTTCCTATTCTTGAGCGAAAAGTTTGTTCATGAAGCATAATGACCCACCTGTATGAACTGGCTTTCATTTTCAGGGGTTAAGCTCGGATAGGTTTCAGCTAAGATTTTTAAAATCTTGTTGAGACTTTTTGGCAGTGATTTATACAAATGTTAAAGTTTAAGTCAAATGTATCAAAGCTTTAAGCTGCTGCAACCCCTGTAGAGTAACGAGGATGAAAATATCAAATTGTTCAAGTAATACCCACTTGAAGTAATGCCCAATGGTTTCTGCTTGGAAAGGTTGGAAAGGAAGGGATGAAAAGTGCGGAAAAATATGTGTAATAAAAATATGTTTAAACCATACCTCCCAAGGGGCAAAAGCATATGGGTCTTTGCAGTTTCTGGCCCTGCACTGATTCCGAATGGCATTTGCAATTGCATACACGGCTAGCATGGTGCTGTGGATAAATCCTGGTTCAATGTTTGCAATGAGAAATTCCTCTCTCCGAAACTGGTTACTTGGTTTAGTGCGGTTCTGTAGAACTCTCTCAACAGAGTAATTACCAATGCACTTGCTCAAATCTTGATCGTTTATATGCGAGCATGCTGCCATAAGCGTGTTGTATTCCATTGAGAACGTGTTGTTTCCATTGGGGGCTGTATGTAGATTGCTCAAGAAGTCGTGGAAAGATGACATGTTGCCACTTTTGAACGTAAATCCAACCACTTTCCCCAGGCGACTGATGTTTGGAATGGTGCTAATCTTGACAGCTGCTGACCAGTTATCACTTGCAATCCAGGTCTTATTTATGTTCCTCTCAATTGCTTTTCTGAACAATCTCATTACGTGGAATTGCCTGAGAAAGACAACAATGACGTTTACCCTGGTTTCCTTGACAATCTTCTCAAGAGCTTGATTAATTTTGCCATGAATGGTGCTGTCCGAGAGATAAGCAGGCAGCATTTCTTTAAATGCAATGCAGACATTGTTTGCCATTGCCTGTAACCCGAAGCTCTCCACAGCGAGGCGCCCAAAGTCATCGTCGGTGGCTATGATTCCAATCCAGTTCCACCCTGACCTGTGGATCAGTCGTGCCATCGCTTTCGTCTGATAAGAATCACTAGGCACGGTGCGCAGAAAAGTCGGGAAGCGGACTTTATCACTAAGGATTTCTGCAGTTGAAGCGTGACTCACCTGTGGAGATGACAATACAGCCTCGTTATAGACACAGGGAACAGCACTGAGCAAAGACCCAGGGTTCAAGTTCTTAGAAGCATCAAATAAGCTGTTGCAAAGGGGGAAGCTGAGATGGCTATAATTCACTCTCTCAACTCCTGGTGCATTTTCTATCTAAGTGCTCTTACGCTCCAACAGATATATGTAAGTTTGAGTGAATTGCAGCATGGTGGCCTCCTGCCACAGACACCACCAAAAGCTGCTTGAAATAGCCTTCTCCACTTATGGGCCATTGCAACACATTTTCTGGGCAGGACCCCCAAAGCATTACCACCATTTCAACATTGGGAATATCATGACTGAAAAGAGAACCCTGGTGGATCAAACCAAAGGCCTAGCTAGTCCAGTTTCCTGCTTTCACACTAGCCAACCTTAGACAGCCACCTCATTGGTTTCAAGCAATGCACTCCTCAAACAAGGGTGTTGGAGGATTCTGGTTTGCTCTACCTTTGAAACTTACCTCACACACACACACATCCCTGCAAAACAACAACCCATGCATGGATTGGACACAGAAATGTAAATTAGAGTGCATAATCTATGAGCCGATACACACATGGGTCCAACAACCTAAAAACAATACAATGACATTACATTATGGACATTATAGACATTATGACATATGGTTGCATCCTGAGAGCATTTAAAAGTACTTTTTAAACTGGATAAACCTGGTAAAGTTACTAACTGTTCTAAGCAGTTGATTATTTAAACAGAAAGAAAGTAAGAACAATGACAATCTTCTAACCCCCTCATAAGTACAGTGGACACTCGGGTTGCAAACGTGATCAGTGCGGGAGGCACGTCCGCAACCCCCAGCGTTTGCAACCCGCAGCGCCGTGTGTGCACACATGCGAGTCGCAATTTGGTGCTTCTGCGCATGCACAGAGTGCGATTTAGTGCTTCTGTGCATGCGTGAGCGCCGAAACCCAGAAGTAACCTGTTCCAGTACTTCTGGGTTCGGCGCGGTGCGCAACCCGAAAACACGCAACCTGAAGCGTCTGTAACCTGAGGTATGACTGTACCCAGTTTTTATTTTTAGTAGAATTGTGCAGATTTGAAGGGTATTTTTTTATCCACATGTAAATGGGGTAGCATAGATTCTTTCTGTACATAGGAAAAACTGACAGGATGGAAATAGGCTGTTTCATCCAGCGCTATCTTTAAAATGCATATCCCAGAGTAATGATGTCCAACTGAGCATGCACCACTCTCCTTATCTGCATGGCGGACTGAATTCAAGAGAAGATTCTTCTAACTGAACTTCAGCTGTATTTTAGGCTGGTAGCAAGACTTTGTACTTGTCTGGAGACGCAAATGAACATATGACTTCATCTCGCCAGGCGAACAGTAGAGTTTGCGTTCAGATAGAAATGTTTTCTCAGATTAAGGATTTTCAAAACCTGCTTCTTGAAACGCTACATTTGCTTTTTTAACTCATTTCATGCAGGTCAGAGTGAGGTTTGGTATCATGGCTGGCAGCCAGTACCCTGCGTGACACACACACACACACACACACACACACACACACACACACTCCGAAACAACACCACCACCACAGAGTCCTCTGCAACACATAGAGATTCTGTGGCTGACATTCGAAGAGATATGGAAAGGGTTACCCAAGGATAGGTCATCTGAAAAAAATAAACGCACTCATTCTATTGAATGAAAACATCTGGGCTAATGCAGTGTTTTGTTTCTACATACCATTCATACTGTCACTACAGTTTCTGTTCAGTTTGAAGATTAACTGTGCACACACTATATCTTTAAAGCACATCCAAAACACATTTCCCCACTGGAAGAATTCTGCTTTACCCCAGACAGAGTTGCAATTCCCACCAACCCTTAAAATCTAGCGCCCAAAATTCATTGAGGGGGAAAATGTGCTTCAAATGCACTTTGAAGTTATATTGTGCACTCAGCCCATGCCCCCCCCACCAATTCAAGCAGGAACACACGAGGCAGCTGCCATGCGATGGCTGCTGTTAATTGCAACATGTGGTACGTGGTGGCAAGAAATCTCTATTCAGCGGCTCACCTTACAAACTGTGCAACTTTCTCAATGCTTTCATTGAGGCAGCGAGGAGGGCAGATATCTTGTTGTGGGGTAAAGTCTCCTGATCTGATAGTGGGCTGCATATAAACAGCTCAGCACATGACAGAACCAGTATGTGGCTGCCAGTTGTGATGTGTGCACCCCATTGGAGACTCTTAAAACATGTTTATGTTCATAAATCTTTATATGGTTTTGTTAAGTCTTTCAATCCAGGGTTTTGTGTTTCTTTTAGAATTGCGGTTCACTGAAATATAAACAGCTCACAACCACATATATGGGGGGGGGAGGCGGGAATCAGTTGGCAGGTTGGTTACTGCAAATGGGATATTAAGTCATTCAAGCCTGACTTACTGCTAATCCCTACATGTGTGTGTGCATGCATGGTGGGGGGTGGGTTTGATGTTTGTTTTGTTTGCCTATGCACACATTTGCTATCCTTCTTGGCAGCTCCATAGCTGCGGCACCAGGGTGAATCAAGATAAAACAATCAAGGAAGATGAACAAAAACCTGTGGTGCCAAATGACTTTGTCAGAAGATGCAAAAATGTTGTTGGCACACAGCCCTGTTGTTTTCTGTCAGATTGCTTGTGGTGATCACATCGTTGAATTTTCGCTCACCTCAATAAACATGCCTTCTGACATTCAGAGGGCCAGTGCAACAGGGGAGGAGCCTAGGATCTTGACCATGTGCAAGGGAACACCAGCATCAAGAGTCTGGTTTGACTCCCAGCTGGTGGGTGGCACACCAGCCTCAGTTTGAGCTGGCTCCTCCTCCAGTTCAGAACCATGACAGTCCCCTGCTATTCTAAAGCAGTGGTGGGGTCTCTTCAGCCCGCAAGCCTAATTAGCTGCCCCCGCCCCAGCCATTTTGGCCAAGCCATATCTACCCGTCAAATATGACACCATACATATGATGTTTGGTGTGGGACAGTTAAAGAACTGGCCGAAAGGGGGATTGCAAAGCACTGTGCATCTGAATCAAAGACTAAGGCTTAGTGCACAATTACATAAAAGCAAACTACACTGCCAGGGTGTCTCACTCTGTGTGCTGCCTTAGGTCATTGAAACTCCTGCTCAGTCAACAACAGGTTGGGTGATTCCACAGAGCACCAAAGGTATGTCAATACCATCAAAGTCTCACGATCCACATCACACCAAATTCATGGAAATAAAGTTGTGTGGCCTTCTCATCTTCTTTCTTTACCCCATGTTAAAATATGATAACCAAGAAATAAGCATATTGTTTATTTAGTACTCTAGAATGTTGTCCCTTCCATGTTGATATATACCCACCAGCCAAGCCAGCTTATAATTATATTCAGAGTCCTATAATTTCATTAAAACACTCCTCCTGTTGAAAGCAAGAAGCTCTTTTTATAGTGACTTACCTGTGGTATAAGCTGCAAATTCAATACTCTTGCAACCGACATAGATACTTCTGAATAGGTGGCCCCTATGACAGCTTTGACTCTGGGCGTATAGTCTGAATAGTTGCACCTGAATTCCACGAGGTCTTTTGAGGCATTGAACTTGGACAGGAACCTCAGAGCTGCAGCCATTGCCCTGGTGACCTCTGCACAAGTGTCATAGATCTCATACCCCAATTTAATTCCAGGTAAGAGTGTAGAGTTGTTGATTGTTTCGATTGCATGGACCATTGCAAGGCTCTGAAGAAACACTTGAACTTCAAAGCTGTCGAGAAGCACACAAAGTCAGTTATCGTTATGTCACCCAAATTCACTTCCCATGATATGAAATTAATATGTGCAGTGTGCATATGTTGAGAGTGTATCCACCATGGAAGGTTATGACATTTTGTAGTCTTTGAAATTCATGTCAGATCTCTAGAGAAAGATGGCGCCCCTCCCAATGCTGTTAGCTTACACTGCCCCAAACCTCAGCTCTCTCTCTGTATGTCTTTCTTCTCCATACTGCTTCTGTTGTTTTTCACTCACAGCTTAATAAGGATGAGTCACACCCCCAACTGTCTCCTACCCTCTTGGGCCATTGACCTAACATAAGATGTGTCTGGAATCTTTGCCACTGGTGACAAGGAGCATCTGCAGTCATTCTGACCTCATTAACTTTCTCTCACCTCCTCCATCTCACAACACACACACACACACACATAGAGTATCAAGAAATTGGTCTAGCTCATACTTTTCTTAAAACAGTAGCAGCTTTTTCTGTACAAGATAAATGAGAGGTTCATAGACATTAAACACATAAATATTGATATAAATAAAAAAAGGTAGCCGTATATAAATTTAAAAACCATTTTCAATTTTGCAGTTTGCCTTTAAAGGTGAACCTACCTAATTCACACAAAACAATATGAGAACTGAAAAACGGGGCATCCTGCAAAATTTGCCATTATCTGAATTCTTCAGTGCAGCTCCCTGCCAAGTAATGTGTAATGCATGCACTACAGTAAAAATAAGCATAAAAATGAATATGATTGTGAAAGTAACATACAAAATGCAATGCATTGGGGAAAATATCAATATTTGTGAAAATATCGATATTTGTGAATGTTTGTTTTACAAAAATACATATATTAGGCAAAACTGCACACAAAAAGTGTGTATCAGGAGGAATGCTTATTAAATTATATGTTGACTTTTTTCAATGCAAACTGACGTAGAAATGTGGAGAACCGCACACAAGACTGGATACATGAGAAAGTGTGAGAAACCAAAACTGACAGATTTACCCATCCCTACGTATGAACTCTCCACAAACAAAATGGAATGAATTTTTAATAAATAGCTGACATTGTCTAATCTCCCTAGAAATAAATTGGGATGAATGCTCAATACGGCTGTCATCTTGAAGTGATCCCAGTCTCTTCTGTCGCTGTAATTTGTAATATCCTGTCTTAATCTCACTGCTGGGGCATGCCTCTAGGGTGCACCAATTGGAGGGGCCTTATCTCATCCAGTAACACATTTGTGAAGCACCTATGGGGCAAAGAAGTCAATAAAAGATATTTCCTTGCCCAGGTCTCTGCACAATGGGTGCTCTTCCAGCAGAAACACTTCCGAGCTTTTCCTCCTCCTCTTTCTCTTCCATGGGCACAAATGGGATGGGAAAGAATCTGTCAACAGTAATCTGCAAATGACCATTCATTCTCACTTCCATCATGCACTGTACTCCCCAACCTTGCATCAACATCTGCACATTCTTTCCACTCCCTGCATTTGTGGGACTTCTCTTCCATCTCCAAAGAACCAAGAGGCTATGTCTGTCTAGGATCCTGGAAATGGTTGCAAGAGAGGGCTATTGCCACCATTTCCAGGATCCTAGACAGACAAAGCCTCTTGGTTCTTTGCTACAGGCTGCAAATCTTCCCAGTTAAGCCCATCACCAGCTCATCTGCTTCCTGCACCCTCCTCTTAGGCCTAACTGCCTACTCTGTTGCTGGGCCTCTGAATATGTCCTGACTACCCTGGCAACAGCCAACACTAATCTTCTCATGTTGAGTTTCTATATGATGCTTAGACTAGAGGTTGTACTTGGGAGACCTCCAGTCTGTCTGCTCATGCTTACCTTAAAGTCAATGTGAGGTTACTACTACTATTACTATTACTACTACTACTACTACTACTACTACTACTGAAACAACTTGAACCGCTGCTACATGCTTCATTATGACTGAACCACACCAACCCAGAATTTCTCTCCAAAGAAATGCAGTCCCACTGCCAATACCAGTTTTGGTTTTTCCAGGTGATACAGTGTTCCTGGGTTGCAGTGCTAACCCAGGTTTGGTTTTTCTTTGAGTTTATTTTCAAATTCACAGGTCAAACATAGGTAGGGGGACAGCTTAACATCCCAATAGGCAGCCAAATCCACTGCCCCACATCAGATTTCCAGAGAGGGGCACCTCCCTCCAAAAACACACTTTTCAAACATTGCTGTCTCCCTGGCTCTCTCTGTGTGCCCCACTCAGAGTCTGTTGTCTGTTGCCCAATATGCTTCTGTTGTTTTCCCACTCATATCTCGCATGCCCCTTCCCTCTGGTTGAAGGAGAATGAGAATGAGTTCATCTTCTCCAATCATCTCTTAACCCTCGTGGGCAATTTACCACCAATTTCCCTAATAGAAGATACGCCTTGAAACTTGGTCATCAGCTATCAAGTAGCATTTGCAATCATTCTGGGCCAATTACACAACACTCTCCTACCCAAACCCCAAATCTCACAATACCGCATATGAAGCTGTGCTGTATGGAATCCAGGGAAGGGCTCTTCAAACTGCATGTTGTTGAGAGGGGGCAATTTTGATTTGTCTTGCTAACTGTCTGGTCCCACAGAGCCCTACATTTTAAATAAGGGAAGGGACAGGAAACAGAAGGTTCAAAGGAACCTGCCTCAAACTGAGTCAGTCCATTCATCTCTCTCGATGTCAACAGCAGCACTCTCTCTACCTGAGGTGTAGAGATCAGGGACTGAACCACTGTGCTTTACCACTGAGATGCATCCTCAGGAGTCTTTTGTAACTGCCCTACAGTAATTCTGAAAGCTTTACCTGTTTCTTATGCAATCAACAGTCTCTAGCTATCTTCTGCCTTCAAGGGGTACTGGGGGGCATACATAGGAGCCAACTCCTAGGGGCCAAGGTCTCTTTGGCCCCCAAAAAATATTTGAGGGGGCTGGGGGCACCCAAAGTTGATGGGTGTTACTATTTAAATGTTTGTGCGCTGCATCTTGTGATTATGTAGGGCAGAGCTTACCTAACCCCCTCAGATAATTCAAGTTGGCACCCCAGGTGGCATACATGACCCTCCCCCCTCCATACACTACATGATTGGGACTATGTTAGTCAGCAAGCTTTAGTTCAACTGGTCCATTTAGAGCTTTTGACAATTTAACTGGGGAGAGGTGATTTTAATTACATACTGGGATACATTTTAATTAGTAGGGTTGAGTATGAAGGTTATACCTATTTACTTTTGAGTCTTTCTTGTTCTGATGTTTCAATATATACAACAGTTATGAAAAATTGCCTTTCCTTTTCACAATAGGAGTTGGAGTTTTTCGTTATGCTAAGCTGTTATCCCAAGCATCAGTCAGTAATTCAATACGGTATCTATGTGGTGGTTTTGGTGATACACACATATATTGACATATAATTGATTTGTTTGTTAAAACTAAAAGAGGACAACTTACATTAAATGTAAACTGTGATTATGAGTTGAATACATTTCTGGATTACTTATACAGCCAACATAAAAGCAGTTATGCTGCAGTCCTGAAAACACTCTCTTACTGAGTAGTCACATCAGTTTCATTTGGGTAACATCAATGTAAACAGTCTATGGACAGCAGGTTAATTGCCTTTTGGCTGGCACTGTCAAATTGTTGACACATCAATGCAATGTAAAGTCTACAAAGTAATGAAAGGACTGACATGGAATGATAGAAAAAGAGGTTCAGCTGTACTTTCTGAAAACATTCACATTCTGTGTCAAAAATGCTCTCTATTATTTTATGTCACTACAGTTCAAGCTTATACATTTCCACTCATAAGTAAGTCCCACTGAGTTCAATGGGATTTACTCAAAGGCAAGTCCACGCTTTTCTGGGAGTAAGTCCCATTGAACATTTATAGGTGTACATTGTCAGGCATGGCCAAAGTGTAAAAGTTGGATACTGTGGTATAACACAGAAGAAATCCAATATACAGACTGGGGTCCAGTTATGTACTATGTTTTATGCCATATTAATATGTGGTGTATGGAGGTAATAAAAATGCAGGGTTTGGTTATATACCATAAAAGAGGTGCAAGTCAATAAGACACTAACAGTGGAATGCTACGCATGCCTGTTCAAAAGTCCCATTACATTTAATGGGATCACCTTCCTGATAAGTACATATAACATTACACAACATAAGAGATAGAAAGTAATTGCAGCCTCTCACAGTCATTCATGTTAGATTTTACCCAGGCATATCAGACACACACTTTTCGTTGCTGATACTCTTTTAAGAAACAGTGATTTAAAGATTCCAAAAATGTAAATGCCCCCCCCCCCCGCTTTTCTCATTTACTCCATTCATGTCCATGTCATGCTGCTCTTTTCATTCTCCTGACACAGTTGATATTATTACTCACCCGGCACAATTGGCAATCACTGGCTTGAGGGGGTTTTCTTCTGAATGCAACATCTTGCCATGAATTGCAAACAAGCCTCCAATGACAACATCTCCCGGAGAGCTGGCACCCACAAAGTCATCAGAATTCCGGCAAGACTGCCCGATATTAAAGCATATCAGGAAGAAAGGCATCAACACACCAAATATTGCCATGTTTCTGTTTCATTTGATCTTTAGTTGCCTTCAGTCAATTAGGTAAGCAGCCCTGCCAACAACACAGTTCCTATTTCACCTGTAAACATCAGCAAGGCGCAGGGCTGTTCTGGGAGCCAAGCACGCCTTAACCAAATGCTGGTTACCAGCTCAGACGGGTCATGCTGTTTAACTGATACCACTGGAGGACTTATGAGGGAGGGGGAGGTCTGGGGAAAACTGGGGGGGGAGGGGGTGTATAAAATAAGAGTGCACAACTCAAATCACTCCAGAGGGCCACTGTTTTTTACAAACTCAGGAGAGCTGTATCAGTAAATTAACTGGAGAAGGATTTTGGTGAAGCTCTATATTTTTGGTCCTCTTAATAATACACACTCGCTGCCACTCTTTTATGTAGGTTTGCAGCACCCACATTCAGAGTACCTCTTGTCTTTTTTTGTTGTTTGTCTCTGCATCTCCACCTCTTGTTTCTCTGCACCCTGTTGCACACTTTTCTGTTGCATCTCATTCTCTGTCATGCTATCCCCCCCACTCTTTTTAAAAAAAATATTTTTATTAAACAATTTCAACATAACAAAATATCAGTCTGAATAATCAATTACATTATTTTCCCCCATCCCTCCCCCCCCCCAAGGACTTCCCTCAGCTCCCTTCTCTGATTTCTTTGCACATACTGTTCTCTGCATGTTACAAATTTGTACATATCCTTCCCTTATCTATCATGTGTTCAACTAATAAGTTTGTGGATGTTTATTCAAAACCTGCCAAGGAGTCCAGATCATTTTGTTGTCTTTTTATAGCTATCCCCCGCACTCTTGCTTCACCCCACTGGCCCCTGTGCACCCCATTTTCTTCCTCTGTGCCTTATCTCTTGGGTTGCACACACACACTGTGTATTTGAAACACGCACCACCCCAAAAGAATACTGGGAATTATAGTTTGCCTCTGACAGAGCCACAGGTCCCAGCATGCTTAACAAACTACAGTTCCCAGGATTCTTTGGGGGGGGAGGTGCTTTAAAGATATGCTTTGTTTGCAGCCTTGGTTCCACCCCCTTTTCTTCCTTTAATCTCTTATTTTACTCTTGTCTTCATCCTTATATCCATTTCTTTTCATTGAATCATGCCCAAGGCTGAGATAGCTTTGAGTTTGGTTGAGGGGACTCAGGAGGAAGGAAAGGCTTGCATTTAAAAATTTGGGATTCTGCATGGAACTGAGAAGCCATGATGGCTTAAGGGTTTTTTCAAAGGTCCTGGCAATTTCATGACAACTGGGGACAATGTCATGCGCTGGATTTTGTGTGCCTGGGGGCTAGTCCCCCTGGTGCCATTGGCAATAAGGGCTGGGCTGGCACGTCGGGCTCCATCCACCCTCTGTGCCTTGTCTCCCTGGTGCTGGTGTGCCCACCCCAAGCACCAGCAATCTATGCTCCACCACTGCCTCAAACCGACAGTCTGAAAAAGATATAACACATGAGGGGAAAGAGGATTTGAGGGATGAGAGGACAACAAGCTCAGGCACCAGTTCTTAAAGTTATAAGAGCAGCGGGCAATATGCAAAGCTGGAGGACAAGGCAATTCCAGCCACTAGTTCTTCTGCAAGAGAGCTGGCTTGGTGATGACGATGTTTGTGGTGGCTCTAAATAGAAGGCAGGGGTGGAATATGTTTGCATGTGTGGAACTGCCGTGCCTTTCCTGGTAGGCAGTGGGGGCAGAAGCCCCCATCGCCTATCAGGAACCGGATCCTACCTGCATCCTGATATGGCAAATGGGGATGCAGGCTGGGACTTGGGCTGTGCCATAGGGTGGAGCAGGTAGGCTTCCCTCGGATCCGCTCCTTGTCCATTTAAGCAGCCCGCACCTCTTATTGTTGGTCTCTTATTTATATGGGTTGAGGTATGGTGAGCCTGGTCCTGCAAGTGTGCTGCTAAACAACCACTACATCTGTACTCTACAAACTTTTCACAACTCAAGCAGATCCTGCAGAATAAAAAGGATTTGGGGGGAATCAAGAACTGCCTATACGCCATTTTCTGTCTTAACTCTTACAACAACATCACTTGGACAAAGTGATTGCTGAATGCATTCATTCTTCAACAGGTTTATGTTTTTCACATTAGTTTCCATTATCATGCTCCTTTGCCTTAGGCAGATAAGCAGAGCTTCCCAACAAAGACTCAATGATAATATAAAAAAATGGATTTTCCATGGATTGTTTGAAGTGCTGAACAGGAACATTGCTGCTAGGGACTGGAGACCCATTGTAACATTTAGTTGCTGGACCCAACTTGTATACTCTTTTGTATACTCATGTAGAGTTTGCGCGCAGGGGCGCTAGTAATATTTTTTGTTCCAGCTTTTATTGCTAGAGGAGGAGGAAGCTGGAGCAAAGGGGGAAAGGCAGAAGCAGTGTAACCAGATAAACCATTCAGCCAGGATCATTCCTACCAGTGAGCAGATGCCATCTTCTGTGATTACACTGCTTAGAACCCACTAATCCCCATCTACAGTTAACCATAACTCAGCTTTGCACTTATACAGGTACAGTCCTAAAGCCAAGCAAAAATGAATCCCTAGTAGATGGACCCAATCACACACAAAGTTTAGACACACACACACAATTTAATCAAATTGTCTTTTTAAATGCTTTCTCTTACTGCTAAAGAATTCCAAACACATAAGATTATTCATCACATCAAATTATTGTTGTTTCCATAAATAACAGCCAATTATGTACCAATTATAGCTACTGTTTATTCTGTCAACTTCTATTTCCAATGTGAAGGCCCAAGGATTTCCTTATCTAAATCTTATAATTCTATTTAGAGCAAGCAAGCTTGCTGCCACAAGCCAAGACAGGTTTTCCAGCTCTTACCAGTTGCTAAGTAAAAAGAACCCTGCCCAAGCATAATTGTCTTGCAAGTTCTGAAAACTGTGACTTATATTACAGGCATCATGTAGAACTTAGTTCACAGACTGGAAAAGGTGCACCGAAGTCTGGGAGCTTCCAGATGCATGTTGACTATTGCTCCTCGTGCATGCAAGCTTTTGGTTGACATCTAAGTGCCACTCCCCAAGTTCCCCATTTAATCCGGATTTACCCTATCCATGGAAAATCTATTTTTTTTATATATTATCATTAAGCCCTTGTTGGGAAGCACTGCTTATCTGTAGTTATAGGCAGTTCTTGATTCCCCCCAAATCCTTTTTATTCTGCAGGATCTGCTTGAGTTGTGAAAAGTTTGTAGAGTACAGATGTAGTGGTCATTTAGCAGCACACTTGCAGGACCAGGCATCGGGCTCACCATACCCCAACCCATATAAATAAGAGACCAACAAGTCTGGTTTTGGGTCAAAACAGGCCACAACTTTATTGAATACAGATGAAAGAGGGTTGGCTTGGGCATGGGGCAATCTAACTACTTCCGGCCTGCCCACCCGCCGGCTGAAAGTGATGCTTGTTCAATCCAGGCAGGGGTTCCTAAGACTTACATCCAATAGGGTGACCCCTGCAGGGACCGCTGTCTGGGAGACTGCCTTCGGCCCTAGCCCCACCTGGGCACGCACACATGGCCACTCCCCCCGGATCCCTTTAACGGGATACCCCAGTGTTTGGAGGGGCAGGCAGAGACTTCAACCTCCCCTCCGTCCAAAACAAAGGATTGCCCCAATGCCCAACCTGTTGTGATGATTGCTATGAGGTTGGCAAAACCAATGGGTTGGTGCCAGTCAGCCCAGTGGGCAAATTCCTACCCAGCCCCAATAAAGAACGGTGACCACCGTAGCCATAGCAAAGTCATTGACTATCAGCTTAAACCGAGGGTGGGTGGGCAGGGAAACCTGGCGAGGGAACGAACAGTCAGGGCCCCAGGTGCAGGCTACTTAAATGGACAAGGGGTGGATCCGAGGGAATCCTACCTGCTTCATCGGCTCCACCCCATGGCACAGCCCAAGTCCCAGCCTGCATCCCCATTTGCCATATCAGGATGCAGTCTAGGATCCGGTTCCTGATAGATGATGGGGGTTTGTAGTTCCACACATCCAAACATATTCTACCCCTGCCTTCTATTTAGAGCCACCACAAACATTGTCATCACCAAGCCAGCTGTCTTGCAGAAGAACTAGGTGGCTGGAATTGCCTTGTCCTCCAGCTCTGGATACTGCCTGCTGCTCCAGGTCATGTAACTGGTCCATAATAAACCTGCTGCCCTCAGATTTGATGGAAGATATTATCTTACTCCCTGTATTGTAGTAAGATTCAACTCTCCGTTCAGTTGGCTTCTCTGCATGAAATGTGGGAAGGCAGAAATGCTACCTTGTCCTTCACCTCAGGTAGAAAGAAGTCCTATTCCAGACCAGGCCTGTTTCTTTGTGACTCCTGCTTCCCGGCTTCTCAGGCCCTGGATGGACATCAGCTGAGAGGCTGTGTGCAGGAGAAATGAATTGGGAGAGAAATGACTTTTTGCTTGTCATGAGGTGTTCTGGACTGGCCCAGCCCTTGACTGGGGTGCAGGATGATATTCACCCTCCTTTGTGTGATAACTCAGAACTCAGGGAATGTGAACAGCCTTGAAGAAAAGGGAGACTGTGGCACACATGCATGAGGAGTCTTGCTTTGTGGGGACTTAATGCAGAAATACATTAAACTCTGTATACATCAGGATCCGTTGGATATGAAGAAACCTCTGCTTTGTTTTAACTTCCAAACAGATTGCCAGGGGATCACCAGTTTTGCTATTAGAAAGAATGATGATTTATCAGATTTTCATCCTACTGTGACTTCAAAGAGGTTCCAGCAGTGCATCTGCATAGTAACCCTTTAAAATAATTTAAGCCAGAGCTTAGCTTTCTTCTGAAGTGACAGTGTGTTTCATGGCTTATTTCAAGTGACAAAGTATTTCAAATTATCAGATTTATTTCATGGCTGAGCAGATATATGAGCCAAAGTTTCTGCAGTTGAAGTCCTATATTAGATTCCCTCCTCCACTTCTTCCTCCTCTTTATATTTCAATGGCATCTGAATATAGATCAGCAGAAAATACTGCTGCAATACTGAAATAATGAGAGCTTCTGCCAGTGCAGCAGCTCACCAGTGTCACAAAATC